ACTTCTGCCAACCTAGCAGTTCGAAAGCACGTAAAAAATGCAAGTAGAAAAATAAGGACCACCTTTGGTGGGAAGGTAACAGCATTCCATGCACCTTTGGCATTTAGTCATGCCAGCCACATGACCACAGAGACGTCTTCGGACAGCACTGGCTCTTCAGCTTTGAAACCTAGAGCCCCCTAGAGTCAGGAATGACTAGCACATATGTGTGAGGGGAATCTTTACCTTTACCATTCAAAAGAGACAATCAAAAACCTAAAAGACCACAATATCACCTCACCAGCAATCAAAACTAGAGAAGCAGAAATTAACACCAAGTTAACCAAGGGGGCCACGGTGGCTCATGTGGTAAGATGCTGGGCCTGTGCATCTCTGAGGTCGGCAGCTTGATTCCCATGAGTGAATAAACTGTGTAGGGACAAGAAAGCCCCCCCCACCACCACCACCATTGCCTACCAGCATTCAGGCATCCCACGGGTAAAGATAACACCACCCGAAAAAATTCCTTTCACAGAGGCAGCCAGCCATGTCGGTGATCCTTGGCTAACACATGCCATACATAAAAACAAAACCACCAAGTTTAATTCTAGACCAACAATCAAACAGTAAACAATACCCCAATCAAGGAACTACTGACAAACAAACAAACAAACAGTAAACAGCCTAATCAAGGAACTACCAAGAACACTCCCACCAACACTGGCAGGACAAGCCAGTTGTTATATAAAAAGAGAGAAAACCCCATTTCCTTCTAGCACTGATGCTGTACTTAATGAAACAACCAAGCATAGAGAGTACTAAGGACCCCACAGTTCAATTACTGCATGTAGACAATATCTGAAATCTATTGGTGAATTCTTTGTGGGAGATTTAAAACTTTGGGAAGCAAGTTTTTAAACAATCTGGAACAGCCAGAGATCAAACAAGGGCCTTTTACAGATATGGAGAAGGCCATGGACGGCCGAGAAAATAGACTGTGATTATCACCTCCAATGTGAAAATAATACCCTTTTACAGATCTGAAAGGAGGGTGTGTATTTTTGGAAGTCTCAATCCAGAAATACTTCGGACTCATTTCCCACGTGTCCATCCATCACCTAGAAAACAAAGTTTTGCTAATGGTATGGAAGCACTTTGCAAGGAAATCAGGACTGATGACCTACATCATGGGGAACTGCTAACAGGACGAGTCTGAACCATTGGAGGAAGGGAGAAAAGTGTTCTGTTCCTCTTCACTATGACAATCTGATTCCCAAATATAGTTTCTGATTGTGCCAGGGCCATGCTGTTCACAATTAAAATAAAATATATTAAAAAAATGTTCTGGTCTTTTAATGAGCAATTTTCAAATGACAAAACCTCTGGATTAATCAAAGCCTCTAATTATATTTTATGCATGAAGAAAGAAAGAAAAAAGATTACACACAGGGGAAACCGAGGGAAAAAAAACACATTTGGCTAATTTTTGTTTCCAGTCTTGATTGATTTTTAGCATTTCTATCTTTTTATCTGTCTGTTAAAACTGACCACCGTGCTTATCTGCTTTGAAGTGAACTTCATTGAGTTAAAAAGGGCCCCTTCCTTGGCGACAGAGATGTCTGTAATCACCTTTCAATTATCTTGGCTGTGTTGCTCATCAAGTTAAGAGATTCGCACTGGAAAGGAACCTTTGCTCAGTCAGAGTGATGCTTGAGGAACTGAATTTTTTTTAATAAATTCTATTACAATCAGCATCTTCTCGATTAATGTGGGGCAGGAATTGAGCTCTCAGCCAGCTTTTGCAATTCCTGCATTTTCCAAGGTAACTTTCTTAAAGCTGCAGTGCAGTGGTGAAATCTTCCCCGGTTTGCTTCCACATGTGCATGCACAGTGCATGCCAAACACACACTGTGTGCACATGTGCAGTGTGTGCCAAATGCATGCTGCATGCATGCATGTGCGGTACGTGCCGAACACGCACTGCACATGGAAAAAGGAGGCTTGGGAAGGTAAGTAGAACAGTGAGGGGGGGAACAGCTGTGCCGCGCAATTTAGATTCACTAGAAAGCAGGATTTCTTACTTTCTAGCGATTTTAAATCGTGCAGCACAGCTGATCATCGGACATACCGGTTCGGACCAACCGTTAGCTTTTTTTTTAATACCGGTTCGCCGAACTGGTAGCTTTTATCACTACCAATTCACCCGAACCGGTAGGATTTCACCTCTGCTACAGTGTATCAATTCTACTCGTGTCTGATCTGTTCTATGGCTATGGAGTCAGAACCTCAGGTCCCATCATTAACACTGGAATTGAAAGTTGTGTTTTTTTTCTCCACTGTAATACAGTATATAATTTGTTGTCTGTACCCATAAATAGCTCTTGAAAGAAAAAAAATGCTTTCTGCTTCTTCCACATCTACCTGGATACCTGTAGATGTTCTTTCTGCTCAAAGCTGTGATGAAGGATTACCCCAAACTGGGCTCTGTCTCCTGATACCTCTTTCTTCTTGATTTCTGTTTGTCAGATTCTACTCTTTCTTTTTCAACAGTTATACCATTGTTTTGAATTACCTCCATCCTGAGTATAATTATACATGGTCTTAGCCTGATTATAATTAAAGTCAGTGCAGATAGTAATTGGCCTATTCAGAAAAGCAGTTTGTTTCCTTGCTGTTTTTTCATAAAGAGAGATCCTTAACAAAACTTATAATTGTAGTCTAAGCTGTCATCTTCTCTTGAAACAATGGAACATTTTTCACCATATGGCATTCCCCAATGTTCCTTGGAATTGAATCCAGGGGGTCTCTGAAAGAGGAAAGACAAAACAGTCAAGATGGCTGCTGCAAGTTGTGTGATTAACATCTTACCCTTTTTTTTCCCTGCAAGCATCGCAAAAATTGCCAAAAGTACTGCTGGTGTGACATTGATCACGCCACATTTTTAATAAAAATAAATAATTAACATCATTATTTTTTATTTATAAATTCATTTATAAAGACAAGACTTTTTTAAAAAAAGATAATAATAAAATTTAAAAATGTATATTGTGATGCCCATTAAAAATGTATATTGTGATGGCAAGCTGGTCATGTGATTGATGAAGCATCAATCACATGACCAGCTTGCCTTTTTTGACAGAACCCTGCAAAGTGCCCTGCTTGGACTTGTCTTGAATCCTGGATCTCCAGCAAACGTAGGCAATGATCTGGGACTGAGTTTCTTCAGGCTTTCAGGCATGTTGATGCAGAGATTGCAGGAAACAGAAATGTAGGATCCTACATTTCAACAGGCAAATAATATGAAATTTCTTGATTGATAGACCCATGAGGTCTCTGCTTTGGCTAGACATGGCTTAAGACTAGAACCTCTGTTTTCCCCTGAGCTGAAACGAAGAGATTTGCAACATCCATTCTTGTGACAGGCAGACAGTAATTGGCCTCTGAGCAGACCAAGTCTGGAATTAATAATAAGATATTCCACTAACCCTGAATTCAGCAATTCACTCTGACTGCTGCATTTCAGGCTGCAGAGACGGATCTCAGGGGCTGTTAATCTAACTTTACATGGATTTGAGTATTGGTAGTCATGACATCAGTGACACTGGGGACTTTCACCCATTTGTTCCTGAATGAACAACTTAGAAATGGTTGTTTGGGCATCGAGGAAGAATTTTGTAGTTATCATGATTAACAAAAGCAATCTTTTGAGCTAGTACTTGGAATTGACAATCAGACAATGTAAATGGATTGTAAATGGATTCTCCCTGTGCCCTTTGTGTAGCCTAAAGATTGATATTAGAAAGATAAATGTATGGCACATTTTATTCAATGGATTGAGGACTTGATTGTGTTTGCCACCAATGAACAAACTGCCTATCGATGTAGATTTTGTATGGACAAATATAAAATATGGGCCTTGTTTGTACAAAATACAGTAGGTTAAAATAATAGTTACCCTGTTTCCCCGAAAATAAAACATCCCCTGATAATAAGCCCAACTGGGCTTTTGAACGAATGTGCTAAAATAAGCCCCCCACCCGGAAAATATTTAAACGGATGTGCAGCCAGTCCCTGCCATTTCCTCTGGTTTCCTCCATGTGCCCCAAAATAATAAGAGCTCCCCAAAAACAAGGCCAAGTGCTATTTCTTATATCTTTCAAAAAGAAACACGGTATATCAGTGTATTAGATATATGTATTTGAATAATAATTGCATTAAATAATTACGTGTAGAATTGTCTATGGGGATTTTCAATAATCCAGGTCATGGTTGTCCCAAAGGTGCTTTTCAAAAGGCAACTGGACTTTCTTAGAAACTGGACTTTTCAAAAGACTTACATTTTGAAGAGCTCCTTTGAGATTTCTGTAGAATTGTAACTGTTTTGTCAGGCCAAAGAAGCAAGAATGACATGTGAAATTACTTAAGAGTAGTTTCTTTTATTGTTCCTTACCTATTGGCAGAATCTTGTCAGACTAAAGCAACTATCTGTATAACTATAGATATATTCTGTGAACTACTGTGAAGTGCTAGGGAGAAACTATCTTAATCACTTCCTGCTGATCAAACTTTCCAAGTTCTGCTGCCTCTATGCCCCCTGGGAGGCAGCCCCTCCCTTCTGGGAATCCAGACTACATTCCACTACATTTTTACTGTTAATTGATATACTTTTTTTCTTTATTATACTTTATTTTTTTAAAAAATGCACTTTGCTTGTTTCTTTTTCTTTGATATTGTCTGTACTTTTCGCTTTGCACGTTGTTCTTTTTCTTTTTCTCATTATTTCAAAAACAATAAAAGAATAAATATAGAATTTTGTACCAAGGTTCTCCAGGTTCCTTAACATATCCTTGACTTTATTCAGCTCCCTTTATATACCTGTTGTAATCTAAAGTGGTTGCATGTGACTTTTCCAGATAGTGGAGCATTTCTTGCTCCACAAAATTCTAATTGAGTGCTTAGCCTTAGAATGCAAGGCTAGAAGTATCAGAAAATTGATATTCAGATTGTGGTTTTTTTTCCAGAAAACCCCAGAGAATCCTGTTTTGATCCAGGTCTGATTAAGAATGGGACTCGTGCTGGAAGTGAGCTGAAACTGGGCTCCATAATCACATATTACTGTGACAGTGGTTATGTGATTGAAGGGATATCCACTTTGACATGTGTTATGGGAGGAGATGGGAAACCTGTGTGGAACAAGCCAAGGCCTATGTGTACAGGTAAGTTGGAGGTGTTCTGAATTCAAGTAGAGCATCACTCTTCTTCTGATACAAATACTTACAAATGATAGAGAAGAACTGAACTTACAAGTGAAATTATGAGAATTGTAGAGTGGCTAGAACAACTTTCTTTTTTTAAAAAAAATATATTTTTTCCATTTCAAAAATGTTTTGTTTTCCATATGATGTCCTATCTCATTATCTAGAGCATTCCTTGAAATTCCCCACCATTTGAAATCAAATTCTGTTGAACAATCATTCATTAGGGTTTTATTGCTCCCAGTGTATAATGCAGCATAAGTTATAAAAAATGTATCAGGCACAGGTTCTGCTTAAGATGCATTCTACAGCATGCCTGCTGCTTATTGCCCATTGAATTAATAGAGTATTCTGGGCCAGCAATCTAGGGAAGAAAAAGGAGGCAATCATCAGAAACTAACCTCATTTTTCCTTTCTCTGTGTTTTAGCACCATGTGGAGGTCAGTACACAGGATCGGATGGTGTCGTCCTGTCCCCCAATTATCCTCAGAACTATACCAGTGGACAAGTGTGCCTGTATTTCATCGTTGTGCCCAAAGATTATGGTATATCCTTTATTGTTCATGCCTTCTAATCCTTTTCTGGTTGTAGTGTTGATACAAAGAGGTGAGCAGAGGTAATATGAGTCAGGAATTATTAATGGTACCCAACAGAATGATGGAAATCGTAGCTGAGAGTACAGAGCCTTTCAAGAGTCTACACCAAATTTGCCAGCTGAAAAATTATGCAGATGACTTCTCTCAATTTATCCTGCAGATGGAAAATGTCTAAAATAATTTCTCATGGGTAGGTTTATTCCTTAGAACCAGTTTAGAATAGTGGTTAAGACATCAGGATCGAAACTGGGAGACTGTGAATTATAGTCTTGCTGTAATCATGAAACCAAAAGGGACGTGATGACACAGTGGCTAAGACACTGAGTTGTCAATCGAAAGTCGACAGTTCAGTGGTTCAAATCCCTAGTGCTGCATAACAGGGTGAACTCCCATTACTTGTCCCAGCTCCTGCCAACCTAGCAGTTTGAAAGCACGTTAAAAATGCAAGTAGAAAAATAGGGACCACCCTTGGTGGGAAGGTAACAGCATTCCGTGCACCTTTGGCATTGAATCATGCCAACCACATGACCACAGAGACGTCTTCAGACAGCGCTGGCTCTTTGGCTTTGAAACGGAGATGAGCACCGCCCCCTAGAGTCGGAAACGACTAGCACATATGTGTAAGGGGAACCTTTACCTTTTTAATCATGAAATCAGCTTGGTGACTTTGGGCCAATCACTTTCTCTAAGCCCTAGGAAGGAATCAATCAAGGTTCTGAATTCATGGCTAGAAAGTGGCAGGCACTTGTTCAGGTAATTAGCAGGAAGTCAAGGTTGACTTAAAGGTAATGAGAGCCGGTTTGGTGTGGCCTTGATGGTCTGGATTAGAAGCCAGGAGATCATGGCTTCTAGTCCAACCTTAGGCACAAAGCCAGCTTGGTAATCCTGGGCTAGTTACTCTGGCAATATATTTCTGAAAAGCACCAGGAGTCAAGGCTGACTTCCATTACAGTTGTTAAGTGAATCATCCAGTCGTTGAGGGACTCCAGCTTCCCCAATTTACTTTGTTTGTCAAAAGCTGGCGATTACATGACCCCAGGACACTGCAACTGTTGTAAATACAACTGCTCAAGTTTTGATCACATGATTGTGGGAATGCTGCGATGATCATAGGTGCTTGTGGTTATAACTTTGAACCACCACTAAGTCGAGGACTATCTGCATTCCAGATTTGGCAAAGCTTGCTAACGTTGCCAACTGAAAAGAACACCAAGGCACTGTGTGACTTCTTAAATGGATATTTACAAGCTGTAGATCACAAAAGCATCAGGTGAAAAGCAAAAACAACCAGAAAAGAATCTCAACCTTGGGGTTTCAAGGCAGAAAGGAGCACTACAGAGATGGGTTTCAGCAGGTTCTGACCAGTTCTGGAGAACCAGTAGCAGAAATTTTGAGTAGTTCGGAGAACCGGTAAATACCACCTCTGATTGGCCCCGCCCCCATCTATTCTCTGCCTCCCGAATCCCAGCTGATCGGGAGGAAATGGGGATTTTGCAGTAACCTTCCCCTGGAGTGGGGAGGGAATGGAGATGTCACAATATCCTTCCCCTGCCACGCCCACCAAGCTATACCCACAGAACCGGTAGTAAAAAAATTTGAAACCCAACCCTGGAGCCCTAGCTATATTTTGAAATGCATGCACCTACATACTTCCAAAGCTTTTGAAGGCAGCTCTTTTTTAAAACAAAATCTGTGTGGTATTTCATTTCTCCTTCATTTTTACAGGGAAAAAATGCTGTCACCCAAATGAACTTAAATTGGAAATAATATTTTGGGAGGGCTGGGGGAAAATATAGTCTTTTTTCTTCTTAGGCACAATCCAAATTGTTGTTTCTACATAGTCTCCATTCTCTGTGGAGCATATGCTCTCAGGGTTTTTTTTTTTTAATCCTTGTTTTTTAAGCAATAGCTGATGTCTCAATTCTTAACAGAATTTTTGAGCTGGTGTCTCAATTCTTGACAAAGAGTTTTTGTCATCCTCTCTGTAAGATATTTTGCCTTTTGGATATTTCTAGGTCCAATAAGAAAAGTTTGTGCTCTGTTTCATGCAGTAGCCCAAAGGAATCTTCTTAAAGATTCCTTTAAGAAGCTCACAGTGGGAGACAACCCGGCTAGGTTCACCTCTCCTAAGGATCTAGCCCAACTTTCTGAATTCATTCAGGTGTATCAAAAAGCTAACCAAAATGGGCTACATTTATGCAGCCAGGATACAGCTGCTACATTTTTAGTTGGCCTGGTAAAACAAGTTGCATAAATTCAGAAAATAATTTATTTCTGTTGCTGCTCTCTCCTAGAAACTTGCATTAGGCATTAGGTAATTCTGAACCAATATCTGAAGTTCCAGTGACTTTAACTGGCACATGCATTTGTGCATCTTTCTTTTCTTTCTTTTATGTACACTGAGAGCATAGGCACCAAGACAAATTTCTTGTATGTCCAATCACACTTGCCCAATAAAGAATTCTATTCTATTCTGTTCTGTTCTATTCTATTCTATTCTATTCTATTCTATTCTATTCTATTCTATTCTATTCTATTCTATTCTATTCTATTCTATTCCCTTCTTGAAGCTGCTTAGACTGGTCACCATCCTCATGCCTGGCGGGGTGTGTGTGTGTGGATATTGGATCATCCCTTCCCATGCTTATGCTTTTTAGATATGTGGAGATAATTCCTGACATGTCCCAACATACCAGAGCAGGGGTCTCCAACCTTGGCAACTTTAAGACTTTAAGAGTTCTGGGAGTTGAAGTCCACAAGTCTTAAAGTTGCCAAGGTTGGAGGAGACCCCTGATCTAGAGAATACCAGATTGTGAACCCTGTTCTAGAGTAACAAGTTGCCTGAAATTAAGTCCTTCTTTATATCTTTCTTGATTTTCTTGCCAGACATTCCACTGAATGACTAAATAAGGGTGGTTTTTTTTTCTATAGACTGTGAGTTATGTCTATGCCATTAAAGAATTTTACAGCTTCAAGGAGCTTTAGTGCTTTGGCATAAAACTGCATAGAAATCAGTACCACAAATGTTTTTGATACAGGGCTGTATGTTTCCTTTCCTATGCCTTGACATTGTTTATGTTTGTTCAATATGCTACTAGTTAAAGGTCCATTAGCTTCAGTAACAGTGGAAAAATAGAGTCGCAGAACTGTCAAGAGTCATTGAAATGTCCTGGTCAATGGAGAAATCCAAATTATCCCCACCCCACCCCAAAATGGACGCTCATTTTTTGAACACATATGGACACATCTAAGTGAGGTAGAGCCCTCCACTCCAGTGGTGGGTTTCACAAATTTTTGCTACCAGTTCAGTGGGTGTAGCTGGGGGAGGGGGGAAGTGACTGAGTGGCATGGCCAACTTGATGTCACTCACACCCACTCAGTCACATGACATCCCCCCACCTAGCCACACCCACAGGAAAAGGTAGGAAATTTTTTGGAATTTCCACCTATCTACCCCTGCCCTCCCTTCACCAGTCACCCCCGTTTCCCTTCCTTTAGTGGCCCCAGCCCTAGCCCCACTTCCTCCCCCAGCACCGCCTCTTTGTTCGGGATGCTTACCTTCTGCAGCGGCTGGTCCAGAGTCTGGAAGACAAGCTGACCGGAGTTTTCGGTGGCCCCCAACCAGCCGCCGCTGCTGGAAAGCTGCTGGCAAAGAAGCCTCCCGGGCCACCGAAAAGTACTGGAGGTTGCAGAAAAACCTGCTGCTGTCGCCTCCATGTTCTTTGCGTATGCACATCCCATTGCATGGGATGCATGCACTGCAATGGGATGCGCGTGCATGAAGAACATGGGATGTGCATTCGCGAAGAACATGGCGGCGATGAATATGGTGGGTGGGGCGAGCGAGCGGTGAATGGGGGACCGGTTCAGAGGCGTGGGCAGCCAGCCATTGCTACCAGTTCGGTGACCTTGGCCAAATTTCCACCAACGCTTCGCGCGAACCGGTGTGAACCAGCTGAATACCCTCTCTGCTCCACTCCATTGCTCCCATTGCCAAATTTCTCTTACTGTTAAGAAGAATTTTTTCCCCTAGTATTCAGCAAGAATAATCCTAGATATGATAAATTTGATATCTGTTTTATTAAAAAAAAAAACTCTATTAGCATTTGAGTGTCCTTGAGTCTCTTTTTATAGAGCTAAAGTGAAATCAAAGTTTTAAAAATGAAGAGATGAAATTTGCAGTATTTTTAAAACCTGCAAAGGATCATAGGCTCAATCTTTCACAGCTTGCAAATTTTATCTTCCTATTCCCAGGTATGAAATTTATTACAATGTCGCAATTAAAATCTGGCAGGGCTATCACAGAGCAGGAAAAAAAAATCTGTCAATGCCAACCTTGGCACACTGATTACCATTTGGCCATTCTCAGTAATGAGCAATCAGTGTGTCTTTTTAAAAAAAATATTATTTTTTCCATATTATTTATGTCTTGCTTGTTACTGGTAGGAAAATCCCAAAGCAGGAATATAGCTCATTTTAAAAAGAATTGCAATTAAACATAAATAATTCAGTTTCAAATGTGTGTCCCGCCACCTCCCATTGGTTGGAAACATCAATTCCTATGACTCAAGGTCAAACATGCTGTGATTCAGAATCAAATAAAACCAGACCCAGAAAATGCACCTATACCTAAGGCAAAGGTAAAGATTCCCCTCGCACATATGTGCTAGTCGTTCCCGACTCTAAGGGGCGGTGCTCATCCCCATTTTAAAGCCAAAGAGCCAGCACTGTCCGAAGACGTCTCCATGGTCATGTGGCTGGCATGACTAAACACCAAAGGCGCACGAAGCACTGTTCCCTTCCCACCAAAGGTGGTCCTTATTTTTCTACTTGCATTTTTTTTACCTGCTTTCGAACTGCTAGGTTGGCAGAAGCTGGGACAAGTAATGGGAGCTCACCCCGTTATGCGGCACTCGGGATTCGAACCGCTGAACTGCCAACCTTTCAATCAACAAGCTCAGCATCTTAGCCACTTGAGCCACCGCGTCCCTTTACCTATTAAACCTATAAACCAACAGAATGGATGAATAAGCTAGTGCACTGCTGTAGCCAAACCAATCCAAAGTGGGATGAGCTTGGATCCAAATCAAAGTTGACCTTCACATCTGTGTATTTCTAATACTTCCTGTGTTCATCCTTTCCCTCTTTGAATTGCTGAAGATTACCAACAGGGCAAGCAAAGGTAGAGCTTCAGAAATAGAACAACAGCAGATAATATCCCAAATTGGTCCATTGGCCACCACACATTGAAGTTGCCAATGTTTCAAATGGCCCTTCTTGATTAGAAGGATGAAACCTCCAGGGCTTCAAACTGCTGCTCTAATAGAATGGTTTAGAGAGTCTTCCATAATCCTACTTGATTCAGGATATAAGTGTCCCGTATCTAGTTGCAGGCGTTCAAAGATTCTGCAAAACTCTGGGTAAAAGAAACTTCTAAAAGAGTCCACCAAATTTTAAGTCAGTTTCCTCTTCTTCCCCTCACTGCTCCATCCCTCCTCATACATCCCTCTTTTCCTGATCATGTTCTGTGGGGACCAGATGTTATTAAGCATATTAGTCCATGTTGAAATGGCATTTGAAAAAGGGATTACCATATTTTTCAGAGTATAAGACGCACCTTCTTCCACCCTAAAAGGGGGTGAAAATTTAGGTGCGTCTTATACACTGAATGTAGTCCCGCCCACTCACTAGCCCCCCCCGTTGGCCTCTGCCTCCCAGCAATTTACCTCCTTGCAGCAAACAGCAAGAAGAAACAGCTCCTTTCAGTTTCAGCACAGCCTAATTAGCACAAGTTGATTGGATTGGCCTCCCGACTCTCAGCTGATTTGCTTTCAGCTGTTTTGCGCAGGGCTCTGCTGCTTGCTGCAAAGAGGTAATTGCTGGAGCAGATTTTTTTTCCTTGTGCTAATCAAGCTATGCTGAAAACGAAAATGAAAGTAAAGCAGGCTGTTTACTGTTTGCTGCAACGAGGCAAAATTGCTCAGAGGCAAAGCAGAGGGAGATTTCTTTTTCTTCTTTTCCTCACCAAAAAAGATAGGTGCGTCTTATACTCCAGTGCGTCTTATACTCCGAAAAATATGGTAAATTCATGTATATCCACTAATTTCAGCATTTGGCCAAATATATACAGAAAGTGAGATATCATGCAGAATAAAAGTATATCACACAGAAGAAGGCCAGGATATGTTCTGATCACAGAAAGGAGGTTTTTATAATAATCATTTTAATTCATGGAAGATAAATATTGATTGGCTCTTAGGAAAAAACTCCGTAAGAACAATTTGACAGCTGAACCAGTAACCCAGACAGCTGGTAGATTGCCTTTCAATATGCTTGGGAATTCTGGGAGCTTCAGTCCACATATCTTAAAGGTCCTGAGCTTAAGAAAAGCTGATCTATCACATGGATGTTGAACAGTAGGATGAGTGGCATATACATTTAATAAATAAAACAAATAAATGACAGGGATGCTTTAAATGGGATTCCAGAACTGGTCAGAGAGTTGGAGCAAGTGCATTAATAGCCCACTTTTTAAAAATCTTTCAGCTCCATTTTAGCTTCAGCTTTGCCAAGGGCACCAATTTGTTCTTCTAGAGAGGGATGATCAATGTGTGCACCTTCTCCTATGTTTAAATACCCCACTTTTCTTTCTTTCCCACCGACAGTGGTATTTGGCCAGTTTGCCTTCTTCCAGACAGCTCTCCATGACATCATTGAAGTACATGATGGTCCAAACCAACATTCTCGCCTCCTCAGCTCTCTCTCTGGTTCTCATACAGGTAAGAAGAGGTTCTGCCTCTTTCTTTCCTCCTGTGGGTAAAAAAAGCTTCTTAAGAGATGTCCATCAAAAACTGTAGGCACGCCTTGATTGTGGAATTGTTAAAGGATCATGCTATGTATGTTCACTCTATGCATTCCCTTCCACCCATTCCTGCTTTGATATCAGTCCTATGATGGTTAATTGAGTGTGTTTTTTGTGATTGTCTAAAGCAGAGGTCTTCAAATTTGGCAGCTTTAAGACTTGTGGACTTCAACTCCTAGAATTCTCCAGCCAGCATAGCTATGTGGCTGGAGAATTCTGGGAGTTGAAGTCCACAAGTCTTAAAGCTGCCAAGTTTGAAGACCTCTGGTCTAAAGTGTTTAGCCATGGCGATTTTCAGCTCAACCCACAGGGAAAAGGGGAGTTATTCCACCATGGTTCACATAAATTTCAGGGGAGGTGTTATTTATAAAGAAATGAAACCGAGTAAAAATAAATCTAATTTACACTTTTGAGAACTATAATTCATGTCCTGATCACCAATCTGTAGAGCTACTATAAAATGCTGTACACGGGGCTACCAGTGGATATGTTCTGGTAGTTGTAGCTGATCCTGACTGTAGCAGTGAGATTGCTCAGAAGTCAATCGGCTGTACAAATGTTCTTAACAAATAATAAATAAATAATAAACTGCATCTGATAGGTATCCCAGACTGATCTTGGCTTTGTTTAGGCAAATTTTCAAAGTTGACTGGGAAGAAGACAAATACAAGTGCCCAGGGGTGAAATCCAGCAGGTCCTGACAGTTTCCGGAGAACCAGTAGCGGAAATTTTGAGTAGTTCGGAGAATCGGTAGCGGAAATTTTGAGTAGTTCAGAGAACCGGCAGATACTACCTCTGGCTGGTCCCAGAATGGGGTGGGAATGGAGATTTTGCAGTATCCTTCCCCTGCCACACCCACCAAGCCACACTATGCCCACCAAGCCACGCTCACAAACCGGTAGTAAAAAAAAATTGAATTTCACCACTGCAAGTGTCCCAGGCTAATGTTGCAGGATCCAATCTGTGCCGATTGCTGAGACCAGAGATTTAGTCTTCTGAGCTTTTGGACTCATGCTGGAGCCCACCTTCAGGGAACTTTTCTCTACCAGAAAGTGTACTTTGGGCAATTCTATGCCTAGAATTTATTTGGTGCCTGGTTGTGTGTAGCTTTTTAGTTGTTGATTGGAGTGTTGATGGCCAGCTATTAAATCTTGTCTGTTGTTTCCTTGTGCTGCCAAGTCCTTGGCTCCAAGCTGGTGGTAAATCAGCACTCTATTGACTGACAAGGGGACCATTTTCCAGGCTTCAATCATTTCCCTGGATATTTTTGTACCTGTTTGACCAACAATTTTAGTAGCCGCAAAATTGAATGTATGTCCTTATTCATTGCAATGTGTGGCCAGCAATGAGTTTCAATCTTCTCGTCTGACTGCTCACTTGTGTTCTTGCAATCTGGTGGTTAGCTTCCTCCCCACTTATCCTACATAGTCACAGGGGCAATCCATGCAGAGGATCTGGTAGATTACATTAGAAGTATCTCCCACCTTCAAGCGATCTTTGCAATGCATTTGTCCTCACATGGTAGCCTCTGGACTGTGTGCGATGCCCACTTGCAGATCTCAGAACTTGTGTTCTACTGCTTCTGAAATGTTTTTGAAGTATGATAGGGAAGGATCAATGTAATAATGTCTATATGATTCTAACAATAACTTCATCAGAGGCAATGATGGGAAAAGATACAGCTTCTGTGCAATGCCTTCCCCCAAAGTCTCACCAGATATCCACTTTTTGGCCACAGGAATAGACGTTTTGATTCTCCCAGGTATTGTCCAAAACCTTTTAGTGAGTTGAGGTCATTTGCTTTCAATTTAATCTATTTCATAACTTTCATTTCAAGTTTATGTATTGCTTTTAAACTGATTTGCTTTCCTTTGTTTTTTTTTAATGTGCTATATTTTCTCACAAATCAAAATTTTTACTTTCCTGGAACTTAATTTACCTAATTTGCAGGTGTGCCATTCATAATGCAGGTAGGTGGTAATGTGGTCCTAAAGTCTAGTAAAGAGATTTCTTATTTTATAGCATTTTGCTGAAGGTTGTTCTTTCCTCCTTTCCTAGGTGAATCATTGCCTCTGGCTACCACCAACCAAATACTGATCAAGTTCAGTGCCAAAGGGCAGGCCACAGCCAAAGGTTTCCATTTTGTCTATCAAGGTAGGTGAGGAGTCTGAAAATAACTCTGCTGACTATGACAGTCAAATAAAAATAGAGCACAAGCACTCCAGAAATAACAGGAAAGACTATGGCCTAAAGTTTTCTGAATGGAGAATATGCCATACTGCAATTTACAGTGACTTTAAATGTAAACTCAGAACTCCTCTGGGCTCAGACATAAAATCTTATTGCACCGGGTTTTTTTTTCTTTTGTTCCTCACCTTCTCCTGACATTCACTTGTTTACGCAATGCATGTTATGTGAAGGAAACACTTGAATTTTGCTAATCAGATTTTGTGTCTTAGTGTATAATCAGAATTCAGGCAACGTCTGGTAGAGTTGGGATGGAAATTCAGTAGAAGAGGAATGGGATCAAAAATTCCAAATATCAGCTTGGCCAGTTTGCTGGGTATGAGAACTCAGCAGGAGAATTTGCTATTCTTAGTTTGCTATTCTTAAAAAAAATGCTGTAAGGATCCATCTATACTGCTCATTTGTAAAATTATAGCCCTTTGTAACATAAATAAGAAACTACAGAGTCCTCAAAACAAATGGAAACTATTTGAGTAGTTCTCCATTACAACATGGGGATCTTCTTTCTAGCAACCAACAGTCGGAAAAAGAATTGTGGGTACAGATCTAGGTCTGCGTTGAAATTGTTCCCTCATCACAATCTCTCTTAGAGTTGACAGTGGCCACCTCCCTTAGCATGCACTAACTTCTTGAGGTCTACATTTTGATCAGATAACAAAATAGTGACAATGCTTAGAAGGGGAACAAACCAATTTCCATCACCATATTTATTTTCAAAGACGTTGATAGCCACCAAATGATAAGCAGAGATGAAAGGAGTGTCTTACAAGGGCTAGAAGGATTAGCAAGTAATATTGAGGTCAGTAGATGTTGATACATGTATATGTCATCCAATGAAGCAGTGGTGGGTTGCTACCGATTCGCCTCGGATCGTGGGTAAGCGCGCGCCCACAAGCAAACCGGTAGCGATGGGTTTTGAAAGCCACTACTGCACTGAAGCCATTTTGTGAGTGAGCCAGCATCTTCTCCTGGCACCCATGTGGTAAGAGCACATGATCAGAATTTTAAGTAGGAAAAAGATTATACACTCCAGAGCTAGGAGAATTCTTAAAGAAAACATTCTAGCATCAAATGAAAGATGAGCCAAATTTGAAGAACAGGGTTGTGCCTTTCTTCTGGCTGTTTGATCTACCCATTACATATCACTTGTTCATATCTTCAAAACACAGACTGGATGATCGTACGTCAAAGATGCTGGAGCTGATTGTGAGAGATGGTGCCAATGGAAGGGGTGCTTGGTATGATGGACTACAGTGAAGTAGGAGGCAGTTTCCCAGGAAGGAGGGAAAACATTCCAGAAAGTGTGTGGGGAGAGCACCACAGCCTCATGGAAAGGATTCAGAGCATAAGGAAAGCCACTGCCAGGGTGTTGTGACCTAGGCTTACTGAGTCATTACAAGACACAATTAGTCCCAAACAAACCTATTTTATTGTAACAGCTGAGAATTACGTTCATTCCCAGCCGAGTCCCAGTTAGTGGCAAAACAAGTCCTTCGGAAGACATCCTTCAGGATAATCACCAAACTTTATCTTCTTTGACACCCTGCCAAAGGCCTTACTTGGCAAAGCCCCACAAAGTTCAGAAACAAACTAGAGACGCCGACTGGAAACAGAGTTAGCAATGTTGCTTTCCTGCAAAAGGCCCCAAGTGTCTTTGTTTCTCTTTTAAGCCTTATGGGAGGGACCAATCATCTCCTGGCCTTACTCCCGAGTCATCCCTTTTGCTTTAGCTGATCTTGCCTTCTGGCAGCTCTGAGCACGCGTGCACTAGAAACAGGCTCCTCCTGTTCCTCTGCCTCTCTGATGCCCGACTCTGGAGGCTCCAGAGTCCGCGCATCATACCCAGATTGCCCTGGCCCCATCTCTGCCTCCAATGCAGAGCCCTCGTCTGGGCCTTCCCCAGACTCCTCACTGTCCGACTCCACTGCTAGCTCTTCAGGCTGCTGGCAGACCACAACACTGCCTGGTTCTCCACCAAAAGCCTCTCTTGAAATGCTACTTTTAGATTCTTTGAACAAGCTTTACTTTTTCACAGATTTTCTTTGTTCCCCGGGATGTTTTTCAAAGGCTTCAATAAGGAAACTCCTAATTAAGAACACATCTAATGTGTGTGATGTTCTCCAGAGGGGGATAAGAAAAAAGGCCCTTGAGAGTTATTCTCCAGAAGGACCTTAGCGTCAGAGTTGCCCCTTGGAAGCGTGGGGGAGTTTGATTTAGGACAAAGCTTGAGCCTACCACAGAGAAACTCAGCTTGGATTCCTTTTGATGCTTTGTCTGCCTAATCAGAGATCCATTCAGTCATCACTCAGCCTGTTTTGGGGAATGTATTTTGATAGCAATTTTTAATGATTTAAGTAGACATTGAAGAAGTCAAATGAGAGTTTCCTTCTTCCCTCCTAAATGTAATTGCAAGCCCCCACCCCTACAGTTCTTGCTGATTGCGTCTCTATAAAAAAAAAATTGCAGTGCAAACAGGCGTTTCCTACTTCTTTTGCCTGACTTTCTTCAGCTCACATCAGACTCATCTCTAGTTCATCCAACTGCTCTTCAAGTCTTTACAATGCACAGGAAATGTATCACTTTGGTTTGAGCATACAGATACTCCTCGGCTTACAACCTTTCCTTTAGGTAGCATTCAAGGTTACAACAGGACTGAAAAAAGTGACTTATGATCGGTCCTCACACTGATGACCATTTCGGACCATATCCTGTGATCAAAATCCGGTCGCCTGGCAACTGGTATCTATTTAGGATGGTTGCAGTGTCTTGGGATCACATGATTGCCATCTGCGACTTTCCCCAACTAGCTCCCAACAAGCAAAGTCAATGGGAGGAAACCAGATTCACTTAATGACTGCAGGATCCACTTAACGACTGTAGAGATTTGCTTAACAGCCATGACAAAAAAAAGGCTACAAAATGACGTGTCACTCACTTAACAACTGCTTTGCTTAAGCAAGGGAAATTGTGGTCCCAAGTTTGGTTGCAGAACAAACGAAAAAAATCCCTTTGCTTTTGACTTCGGAATAAGAGAGTATCACTTGAACATGATCTCAGAAATCTCTTAAATGGACTGTATTATAGTGGAAGATAACACAGAATGCTTCAGATCCAGAAAGAACAACTGCAATTGTCTTTGATTTTCTCTGCTTTTGTCTTAGAGTCACAAATGTAATTTGTGCTGAACCCAACCTATCTTCCAGTCAACAGAAATATTGGCCAAGGGATGATTTTTGGTTTCTTTTTTGTTTGTTTCTTTTTTGTTTTTGTTTTTAAATAATTGCAGAAAAAACAATTACTACCAACCTGCCTTCCATTGAGGAATACTGCATGAGTCAAAAAGAGGGCTGTGAAAATATTTACAGACCCCTCACATCCTGGACATAAATTGTTTCAACTCCTACCCTCAAAACGACTCTATAGAGCACTGCACACCAGAACAACTAGACACCAGAACAGTTTATTCCCAAACGCCATCACTCTGCTAAACAAATAATTCCCTCAACGCTGTCAAACTATTCACTAAGGCTGCATTACTATTACTCTTCTCATCATTCCTATCACCCATCTCCTCCCACTTATGACTATATGATTGTAACCTTGTTGCTGGTATCCTTAAGATTTGATTTGATTGCTTATTTGTTCCCTATGACTTTCATTAAGTGTTGTACCTTATGATTCTTGACGAACGTATCTTTTCTTTTATGTACACCGAGAGCGTATGCACCAAGACAAATTCCTTGTGTGTCCAATCACACTTGGCCAATAAAGAATTCTATTCTATTCTATAGCAAGCAACTGAAGCTAAAAACAGGTTGTGCATCATTGTGCATCAAACAGCCAGGAACTGAGTGCAGCCAAGAAGTAACAGCAATGGCTTTCCTTGAAGACCACTTATAAACAATAAAGCAGCAGCAAAGACACACTTCTTAGGTTGTTGATTTGAAAGGGAGGGAGAAACATCTGGTAAATGCTCCAGAAGACAACATCTACACTTGGGCACATATTTGCCACTGTGTCACCTGACCACAAAGACTCTTTCATTAGATGCATCATTAGGTAACTATTGCCAGATCTGATTAATTCTGTGTTATGGCCACCTTGACCAAAGTGATACCTTTCTAAACCATCCTGTTATCTTCCTCTGGTTAATTGGGTAGCACAGAAAGACCCCAAATTACAACGCGTGAGAAGCTCACAAAATGTCTTCTTCTTGACAAGGGATCATAAATGCAACCTAACCAGTTGAGGGAAGGTAGCATAATTTTACTTGCAAGAAAATCCAAAATATTTACTAACTATAGGGAATTATATATGATGGAAGTTGCCTGGACCAGCAGTAGTTGATTCAAAATGAATCTCAATTTCCAAATCTACCTCTGATTTCTAACTTATGTCTCTCTATACTAAATAAATAAATAAATAAATAAATAAATAAATAAATAAATAAATAACTTGTTCAAATAATAAAGATGTACTTGACTAATCCTCTCTCTCTCTCTTTCGCTCTCTCTCTCCCTCTCTCTCTCTCTCTCCCTCCCTCTCCCTCCCTCCCTCTCTCTCCCTCCCTCCCTCTCTCTCTCTCCCCCCTCTCTCTCTCTGACACTCTGACACACACACACACTGCAGCAACAGCATTAAACTAAAACCTGTTTCTGCAACCTTATTGACTACTGCAACTCTGGGTTTTTTTCTCTCTCTCTAAAAAAGTCAAATTTGGGAATCATATCACTTAAAACAGGACAAAAGGTGCTGTTTTATCCTGAACTTGGGGTAAACTTTCAAAATGGGAATTTCATTCTGAGGTCAGAATTGAAATTGAACTGAATTAAATTAAACTGAAATGCTTACATTGAACTCTGAATATTTTCTCTGGACAGACAAATGCCTATCTAAAGGGGCCCAGGGATTTCTCGTCCATCTATCCTTTCCATAGCCCCAAACCTCAGCACCCCACCCCTTATCTACCTCATGGGGATTTTTTTTTATGGCAAAATCAATCATTATCTACTATCATCTGTTTCTGTGCCATAAGTGAGCAGTGAAATTGATGAATAGCAGTCAGGAAATAAAATAGGCAAAGAAAGAAGTCAGTAGAATCTGGTCCTGGGAAGGAATTATTTCAGGTACTATCTGCATTGTATGTTCTACTTCTAACTTTTAGCTCCTGTACAAAAGTATCTCCTTACCAAGTCTATAATGTTCTTAATTTAAAACATAAATAAGCACAGGACTCTTCGTTATATTTATGTTCTCCATAGTGTCACTCTGGATGACTCTGGATTCAGCGCTAAATTTCAGCTGCAAAAGGTCCTGATGTTTCCTTCTAAAATGGACTGATTCTCTTGAAAAAAATTCAGAAAAAAATTTGGGAGAAATAAGGACTTAATCTCTTGGATATTGATATTAGTTTTTCTAATAACTCTTGCTATTTATCATAGGATGCTCCCTGCATTTTGCCTCTGGGAGCTTTGCTGGAGGATGAAGAAAAGGTCGTGTTTCATTACCTCGCCTGGAAATAATGATAAACACAGGCTATAACACAAGGGCACTTTTGAAGTATATGTTTCACCCTTGATCTCTTATGCGAGGTTTATTTTAAGAGCTTGAAAGCCAAGCTCAATGAAAAAGCTTTCCGTTGGCTCTGCAACCCAACAAGACAGACACAGACTTCAGAGGATAATTAGAACTGCAGAAAAAACAATGGCTACGAACCTGCCTTCCATTGAGGACCTGTATACTGCACGAGTCAAAAAGAGGGCTGTGAAAATATTTACAAACCCCTCGCATCCTGGACGTAAACTGTTTCAACTCCTACCCTCAAAATGACGCTATAGAGCACTGCACACCAGAACATTAGGCACAAGGACAGTTTTTTCCCGAACGCCATCACTCTGCTAAACAAATAATTCCCTCAACACTGTCAAACTAGTTACTAAGTCTGTACTACTAATAATCATCTCATCGTTCCCACCACCCATCTCCTTCCACTTATGACTGTATGACTGTTGCTGGTATCCTTACAATTTATATTGATATTGTTTCCTGATTGCTTATTTGTACCCCATGACTATCATTAAGTGTTGTACCTTATGATTCTTGATGAACGTATCTTTTCTTTTATGTACACTGAGAACATATGCTCCAAGATCAATTCCTTGTGTGTCCAATCACACTTGGCCAATAAAAAATTCTATTCTATTCTATTCTATTCTATTCTATTCTATTCTATTCTATTCTATTCTATTCTATTCCTATTCGTACCTATCCTGCTCCATAATGTTCTCCTTTCTTTGTCTTTTGAAGCGGTTCCACGAACCAGTGCCACCCAGTGCAGCTCTGTACCAGAGCCCCGTTATGGGAGACGAATTGGCAGTGATTTCTCGGTGGGGGCTGTGATCCAGTTTGAGTGTAATGCTGGCTATGCCCTCAAGGGATCACACAGCATTGAATGCTTGACGATGCCTGGAACTCTTGCCCAGTGGAACTCTTCGGTGCCTACTTGTCTTGGTATGTATCTGCCAAAGACAGGACTAAGTGGCATTCACTGCCGGTCATTCTGTGGCATGTTCAATTTCTTTTTTGTATAACAGACTTTAAAACAGTGTTTCTCAACCTCAGCAGCCTTAAGATGTATGGGCTTCGACTCCCAGAATTCTGGGAGTTAAAATCCACACACCTTAAAGTTGCCAAGGTGAGAAACATTGTTTTAGAGCAGTGATGGCGAACCTTTTAGAGACCGAGTGCCCAAACTGCAACCCAAAACTCACTTATTTATTGCAAAGTGCCAAGATGGCAATTTAATCTGAATAATGTGGTTTTACCAGGGGTGAAATCCAGCAGGTTCTGACAGGTTCTGGAGAACCGGTAGTGGAAATTTTGAGTAGTTCAGGAAACCAGCAAATGCCACCTCTGGCTGGCTCCGGAGTGGAGTGGGAATGGAGATTTTGCAATATCCTTCCCCTGCCACACCCACCAAGCCACACAATGCCCACCAAGCCACGCCCACAGAACCAGTAGTAAAAAAAATGGATTTCACCACTGGGTTTTACTACCTAAAATAATGATAAACAAGGCAGAGTTCAGCTAATTGTTCTAAGAAAAATGTGACAAATGCACTTTTATGCCCCTTCATTTTTTTTTCTGCTTTTGAAATATTACATTTAGCAACAATAAAAAAAGAAAAAAACTTTTGTAATATCATTTTTCTCTTTCCCTCCTCTCTCTTTCCCTCCCTCTCTCTCCCCCCTGTGGGAGAAATGCAATGGAGCTGGGCTGGGGCGACAGTGCGCGTGCCCACAGAGAGAGCTCTGAGTGCCACCTCTGGCACGCCTGCCATAAGTTCGCCACCACTGCTTTAGAACAATGACCCAAGCCATGGGACAAACTAAAAAACTTTGGCTGACCTTGAAAACAATTGAGCAGGTTTGGATCTGGCTGGCTATGGAATTCTGGGAGTTGAAGTGTACACATCTCTAGGTTGCCGAAGTTGAGAAACCCTACGGCAAAGATGAAGGCAAAGAAGGATTGAGCTGTTCTTTGTTTAGCGATCTGAGATTTCCCAACTCCATTTGGAACAGTAGAAATCCTTTCTAAATGCTTCCATCATGAATATATTATAATCACATATGTTCTCCAAATGATTGCTGTAATTGTTCCAGGGTAACTTCTAATATGGGTATATGCAAGGTTATTGGGTATTTGCAGAATTAACTTTTCTGGCAATATTGGCAATAAATGTGCACGTATGAAAGCAAGTTTCTAACCTCTGTGGCTGCAGAGATTTCCTCAGAAGGATTGAGATGAACCCTCCTGATAGCTTAGAAATCTTGGGGTTGGTGGAGAAACATTTCTTGCGAGTTCAGGGTCCTGCATCTTTTCTTCTCCCTCATTCAAGGCTAGCAGAAACTAAAATGCATTTTGCTAAATCCTGTTGCCAAATAAATTATGAATAGGGTAGAGCTCATTTCGTTTCAGATAATTTGCATCTTTTATCTAGGGTACAGTTTCCTTTCCAGAGAGACTTGTGTCAGGGAAAATGGAAGGCATGACTCGGTGTTGCTGCGGGAAACGGCTGAGACTCTCTAGCAGGTGCAAATCATCTGTAGATGCTGCAGGAAAGGAATGGGGAATGTTCTTTCAGCATGTTCTCCTTTTTTATATTGCATTCAAAGCAGTGGTGAAATCCAATTTTTTTTACTACCGGTTCTGTGGGCATGGCTTGTTGGGCGTGGAATGGCTTGGTGGGCATGGCTTGGTGGGTGTGGCAAGGAAAGGATACTGCAAAATCTCCATTCTCACCCCACTCCAGGGAAAGGATACTGGAAAATCCCCATTCCCTCCCCACTCCTGGGGGAAGGATATTGCAAAATCTCCATTCCCACCCCACTCTGGGGCCAACCAGAGGTGGTATTTGCCGGTTCTCTGAACTACTCAAAATTTCCACTACCGGTTCTCCGAACTGCTCAAAATTTCCACTACCGGTTCTCCAGAACTTGTCAGAACCTGCTGGATTTCACCCCTGATTCAAAGTCATCCAGCAAGGATTCATGCACATCTCAGAGCCTGAACTTTCTCTGTCTTTGCTGCAGGATGTTCCTTGGGGTACACATCCTCCCTAAAATTACTTATTTATTAAACAAATTAATATAGCTGCCCAAGCCACACACAGATGACTCCGGATGGCTTTAAAAAATCCATCACATAATAAGAAAACCATTAAAAATGCCACCATGGCAACAACAATATAATCAAATCAGCCCCTTTGTAGTACCCAGGCCCCTTGGCAAAACCATGTTTTTGAGAAAGCAACAGGATGGGGGGCAACTGTACCTTGGGGGAATAATGTTCAATAAAGAAGGGGCCGCCACTAAGAAAGCTCTTTTGTTCCATTAGATGTACATCCCTAATCAATGGTACGCATAACATGCCCTACCTTCAAAATGACCTAGACTATGTATCTGAATGGTCAAACAATTGGCAACTCCAAAGCTCTGCTAACAAATGCTCAGTCCTGCACATTGGCAATAGAAATAAGAACATGAAATATTTGCTGGCTGGTAATGATCTAAAAGTTGACCCACACTCTGTCAAGGACCTAGGAATACTCATTTCAAAAGATCTAAGCCCCAGAGCTCCCTGTAACATCATTGCAAAAAAGGCATTAAGAGTTGTCAATCTTATTTTCATTTTCATTTCATTTTCATTTTATTAGATTTCTATACCGCCCTACTCCCGAAGGACTCAGGGCGGTGCACAGCCAAACAATAAAAACACATACAATACAAAATTTAAAAAATAGAATAAAATCAGATTAAATAATTTTGGCCCTGACAAATTTAAAACCCCAAACTTTTAAAACCAATTTAAAATTGAATATATAAAATACTAAAAGATATTTAAAATTTTAAAAATCTTTTATAAAAGAGGGGGAAAATTAGGCCAGGCCGGCCTGGTGAAATAGTAAGGTCTTTAAGGCGCGGCGGAAGGTGCGCAGATCCGGGATCCTCCGTATCTCTGGGGGGAGCTCGTTCCAGATAGTAGGTGCTCCCACAGAGAAGGCTCTCCCCTTAGGGGCCACCAGTCAACATTGTTTGGCTGACGGCACCCGGAGGAGCCCCTCTCTATGGGAGCGTACCGGCCGGTGGGAGGCTATTGGTGGTAGTAGGCGGTCCTGCAAGTACCCGGGTCCTAAGCCATGGAGCGCTTTAAAGGTGGTAACCAGAGCCTTGAAGCGCACCCGGAAGACCACTGGGAGCCAGTGCAGCTCGCGCAGGAGGGGTGTTATGAAGTTTTCTCTCTCGTAATGCTATACTTCAAATTAGGGCATATAAAACCTTTGCCAGACCTATCCTTGAATACTGCTCACCTGCCTGGAACCCTCACTGTATTTCAGACATCAATATTTTAGAGAGGGTCCAGAGATATTTTACTAGGAGAGTACTCATATCCTCTGCTCGAAATAAAATTCCCTTTACCACCAGGCTTGAAATTTTAGGCCTGGATAACCTCGAACTACGCTGTCTACATTCCAACCTAAGCTTAGTTCATAAGATTATTTACCAAAACGTCCTACCTGTAAATGAGTACTTTAATTTCAACCGTAATAAACAAGGGCTATCAATAGATTCAAACTCAATGTAAATCGCTCTAATCTTGATTGTAGGATATATGACTTCTGCAATAGAGTAGTAAATGTCTGGAACACTCTACCTGATCTTGTTGTTAGTCTTGCTAATCCCCATACCTTTTACCTTAAACTGTCTACCGTGGACCTTTCACGTTTCTTAAGAGGTCCGTAAAGGGGGCATGCAGAAGCACACCAGTGTGCCTACCGTCCCTGTCCTATTGCCCCCATTTATATGTACTCATTCGATATGTTTATAGCTATGTTTTGCCTATTTATATCTTTTTATTTGTGCCAATTTTTTTTCATGTGTCCATGTCTATGTCTATACTGATACTTGTTTCCTTATACGTTGACAAATAAAATAAATAAATAAATAAATAAATAAATAAATAAATAAATAAATAAATAAATATAGGAGGAGAGTCATCTTAGTCTACAGCAGCCAAAAATCTGAATGTCTGGAAGCATCTGTATTGGTCTTAACTGGTGCTATCAGGCTTTTATCTCCCAAACAAGAAAGTGTCACCATAGCAAAAGCATTATTGATGTGGAAGGTTGTCTTCTTCACTGGGCAATGTGGAAAGGCTGGTTATGGTACTTGGGTTACCTGCAGAAGGAGGATCATGTCATGAAGCAGCAATTGTTAGTCCAAACAACAGTGATTATTTGTATTTGGCTTTACATGGCAACTTGTGCAGCAAAAATCAAAACCTGCTCTTAGGTTTTAGGGTGGTGGAGCAGGGGTGAAATCCAGCAGGTTCTGACAGGTTCTGGAGAACTTGTAGCAGAAATTTTGAGCAGTTTGGAGAATCGACAAATGCCACCTCTGGCTGGCCCCAGAGTGGGGTGGGAATGGAGATTTTGCAGTATCCTTCCCCTGCCACGCCCACTAAGCCATGCCCACAGAACCGGTAGTAAAAAAAATTAGATTTCACCACTGTGGTGGAGGCTACGTATTTGAGAGAATAATTGGATAATAATTCTGGGGATTAGAAATAGGTACCTAACTGCCATTGATGAGTAGAATGATTTCAGTCTCAAGGACTGTTGACGTAACGCAGACTTTCTTGTCTATTTCAGTGCCTTGTGGTGGAAACTTAACAGAGCGAAAAGGCACCATTTTGTCCCCTGGATTCCCTGAGCCCTACTTGAACAGCCTCAACTGTGTGTGGAAAATAACTGTCCCTGAAGGAGCTGGAATACAGGTAAAGCATGGCTAGGTTGAGAAGCCAGCTCGGATTGGGAAGAAAGGACTCTTAACAAAGGCTGCTCTCTCTTTCTTTCAGCTTGTAGCCTAACCAAGAAGTCAAGATGTTGGTCTTTTAATCTGCTTTTTTTTCCTCCTGCCAGACTAGTTATTAGTAAAACGACTGTCCAGGATTTAATTCTGTATGAAAGCACTGATGTGTCAAGTGTCAAGGAGACTATTTATCTCACAGAAGACATTGTGGGCGGAGGGCTACGTCTACGGCAGCCAGAAAGTAGGAAAGGATCTGATAGCATCTTTTCAGGCTAATAGAAATTTTGTTAAAGGGCATGAGCTACACAGCTCACTTCATCAGATGCAAAATCTGATATCGGGATTTTTCTTTGGATGGTCCGGTTAGCTCAGGTTGGAAGATGGAAAAAGCAAAGAGCAAATTCTTTCTCTCTGACTAGGCAGTCTGTTCAGCAGCCTGCCAATTTTAAAAGCACTGACGAGCACTGCTGTACTCAGGGAGAATTGGAGAAACTCTTGGTTATTCAAATTCAAATTCAAATCTTTATTGTCACTGCACAACATATGTACAATGAGATTGGTTGAGCTCCCTCAGTGCACCCACCCACCCCAACACAATACAACTCACAGTGAAGACAGAAAATCCCTAACCCAATAGATCATATTAACAAAACACCCAGTCCTATTGCAGCAGTGTGAACATGTTACATGTTGCACTGGCCCTGCAAGTCCATCATACTACGTAGTTATGATGTTATTTCTCATTCAGGAGTCTGACAGCCCACTGATAAAAACTGTTCTTCAGCCTATTTGTGCAGCTGGCTATACTTCTATATCTCCTTCCCATTAACAGAAGTGCCTACCCTGTTGCCTCTCTTCCTGAACTAACCTGTTGTGACCCAGGCCCAAGTAATTAGTATTAAATTCAAACAGTTTGAAAACAGACTTTATTAGAACAGCTGAGAATTAACTCATTCTCAGTATAGTCCAATCTAAATTAAAGCAAATTCTTCAAAACATCATTCCTCAGTTTATCACTGACCTTGGGATAATTAGGCAAACTGCTAAAGGCTTTTCTTGGCAAAAGTTCAGAAGCAGAAGACGCCGACAAGAAATGAATACAGTGAAACAAGAAGCAATTCTCTCAACGTTGTTTTCTGGCAAAGAGGCCAAGAGCCGTTGTTGGTCTTTTAAGCCTTATGGGAGGGGCCAATCATCTCTTGGCCCTACTCCTGAGTTGTCCCTTTTGCTTTAGCTGCTCTTGCCTTCTGGAAGCTCTTCTTGTACGTGCACTAGGAACAGGCTCCTCCTGTTCCTCTGCCTCTCTACTGTCAGCCTCTGGAGGTTCTGAAGTCCACACATAACTCCCCGATGGCCCTGGCCCCATCTCTGCCTCCGATGCAGAGCCCTCATCTAGGCCTTCCCCAGACTCCAGGACTGGCCCATGTTCCTCTCCAGCCTCCTCACTGTCCAACTCTGCTGCCAGCTCTGCAGGCTGCTGGCGGACCACAACATAACCAAACATGTCACTGGATAACATTCAGCTCCTTATTCTGAAGGATTTGAGGTTGCCCAATCAAGAACAGCTCAATATTTCATATCTTCCATGACAAGCATGGACCTCTCCCAGATGGATCTGATTCCATGCTCCCAACAGGGCATATGTTTAAACATCCTATCTGACAGTTGCATGCACATGGTTTTGCACTGAGCTGGTTTACTACAAGTTCTGTGCCATCTAAAAGATTTATGTCTTAGGTGAAGGATATGAAAGTATGATTATCAAATTATCAGGTATGGATGGATGGGATGGGACGGGGTGGGACGGGACAGGACAGGACAAAGATTCAGGAGAATCTTGATCATCTGAAACACTGGACAGAAAGAAGAACATTGAATTAAAACTAAAATGAATACCAAATTTTATATTTGGATAGGAAACAAAGTTAAGGCATAAGTATTGGGAAGGTGGACCATGTTGTGCAGCACAATGTAAAAAGTTCTGGGGTTGATTCCAAGTTGTATCAGCAGAGGTGAAGTCCGCTTGAATCTGATCCTCCTTGTTCTGCATTGGTCAGATCACACCTAGAATTTTTCATCATATTTTAGAAAGGCACTGGCCAGATGGAGTATCTCCAGAAGTGCAACCAAGACCATAAGCTCCTTAGAAGAAAAACTTATGAGGAATGATTAAATGTCTTGAACATGCATTTAACCTGAAAAACAAAAGATTGTGGAAAAATATAGTAGTTACTTCAAAGACAGGGCAGAATTGTTCAGAGTTGTCCCAGAAAACAAGAGAAGAAACAATAAGTTCAGTTAGAAGGAATTAGATTTTGATTGGACATCTAAAAACTTTCCTAAGGATAACAATTGTTCCAAAACTGCCTGGAGGAGTCATGCAGGATTGCAGGACCATATGTTGGGAATGATATACAGGTGGTCTGTGACTTAACAACCATTCATTTAGCGACTGTTTGAAGTTACAACAGTACTGCAAAAAGTGACTTTTGATTAGCCCCTGTATTTACAGCCTCCCCACAGTCATATGATCAAAATTCAGGCACTTGGCAACCATCAAGTATTTACAATAGTTGAAGCATCATAGGTTTATCTGGTCACCATTTGTGACCTTCCCAGCCAGCTTCTGACAAGCAGAGTCAATAGGGGAGGCCAAATTCACTTAATGTCAGGGTTCCAAGGAACACCCCCAACGAAATAAAGCTCTGAGGTTCCTCAAAGTTCCAATTTATTAGAGATGTCATGTTGGCACATCTGGGAAAACCCGAATCTGAAAGCTTCCAGGTTTCCCCCACCCAGCTAAGAGTTCACAGCCCTGCCCCACGCCCATAAGTTCATCACATTGTCCAATCAACTCTTCACACTCCACTGGATACAATCTTCTGGCAGTCTCCATCAGATGCAGGCAAAAGTCCTTGAAGACGGAATGTTGTTATGACTAACTTTCTACCGCTCCAACAACAACCCCCTCCCAACTTCCCCAGCTAAAATATGTGGCAGTTAAGAAGCAAAAAAGAAAATTGTCTTCCAAAACTGACAATGACTGTACGATTCATTTAACAACTGCAGTGATTTCCTTAAAAAGCTTGGTTAAAAATGTCATAAAATTGGGCATGACTCACTTAACAATTGCCTTGCTTAGCAACAGACATTCTGTCTGTTCCAATTGCGGTCATAAGCAGTGGTGAAATCCAAATTTTTTTACTACCGGTTCTGTGGGCGTGGCTTGGTGGGCGTGGCAGGGGAAGGATACTGCAAAATCCCCATTCCCTTCCCACTCTGGGACCAGCCAGAGGTGGTATTTGCCGGTTCTCCGAACTACTCAAAATTTCCGCTACCGATTCTCCAGAACCTGTCAGAACCTGCTGGATTTCACCCCGGTCATAAGTCAAAGACTATAGATTTCTGCCCCGGGGAGAAGATTGGGCTTGATGATCTTCAAAGTCATTTGTACCCCTTACCTTCCATCATTTTCGTTGGTGGAAGAGTGCAGTATATTGTCTTCAAGCTATTTTATTTAACTATGTGCAATAGTGCTAGTGGACATCCAGGATTGCTAAACATGAAAGTCGATGCCTGAAGAAAAACACAGAAGCTTCAGAAAGGTTTGTCTGAGATAAAAGCCACAAATACTTTCATCTCTGAAAGAAATGATCTGATAGCAGAAGTTTCCCTGCTCCGTGTCCTTTAGGACTCCACATACATAATCGACTAGGTAATTAGGACAGTAAAAAAACATCATCTGGAAATCTTCAGGTTGGGAAAAGTTGTTATGGAGAAAAAAAAATGGGATATATATAATAACCCCTTTTATAAACTCTTTCCTTGCTAAGGACTACGTAGTTCAAAGACAGTAGTACTACTAGCATCTTCTACGTAAACATAAAACTTTTTCAAATGAAATGTATTTAGCTCTATATAGAGAAAGGGAACTGTCCCTTTAAAACCTGTGAAAAGTTTGCTAAAGTTCTTGGACTTTAGTAGGAACAATTTGGTCTGATCCAGTGGTGAAATGTAAAATTTGTTACTACCGGTTCTGTGGGCGTGGCTTGATTGGGGGGGGATAATGTGACGGTGGGCGTGGGCGACTTTTTTTTTTTACTTTTTTAAAGCATTTTTTTTCAACCTATTCAGGCAAATAGGTTGTAAAAAAATGCTTTTAAAAGGTAAAAAAAAAGGCTCTGACAATCACAGCTGTGCTGCACGATCGTCAGAGCCTTTTTTTAAAAAAGCAGGAAGTAACAACACCCGGGCGGGTGGGCAAAGCCTCGCGCCGCCATCGCTACTGGTTTTCTGAACCACCTGCCACAGTCGCTACCGGATTGCCCGATCCGGTCTGAACTGGGAGCATTTCACCCCTGGTCTGATCCAACTCCAGGATACCAATTGCAATTCTTTGCAATGTATATATTATAATCCAGAGAGAGAGAATCCTGCTCTGCTTCAGTAGCCTAGCAAAAGAGAAGGAAGCAATTAGCATCATAATAGGACCGTTTTGCAGCTTCCAAATTCACAAGGCGTATCCTTTTGCGAGTGTCACAATTGATTAGCAGATCCGTTTTTTTAATTTTACTTAGTTTTGCCTTGGATTTTTTGAGACTTGTATGCCTTGTTATTGGTTTTTTTTTTTTTTAATTTGATTTATATGCCGCCCTTCTCCGGAGACTCAGGGCGGCTTACAATGCGTTAAGCAATAGCAAATAGTATTTCTCACAGCATAGCATGGAAGAGAAAAAGGAAGGTGGTTTTAGCAGAACCGCTAAATGTATTGCGAAACATTTGACATTGTGATATCAAGGCGATAATTTATTCCATTCATTTGTTAATTTCAGTGAAGAAGAAGCTACTGGGAGAACCAACCTACTATTAATACATTTTATTTTTTGCTCTATTTCCTTGAAATGTAGTATCTAAATTAGGATGTCTTTAGAAGCTAATAAATCATATGAACTGAAGCTAAAATAATGCTATTAACAAGAAGAAATATATTTCAGGAAAATGTAGTTTTTTTCCACTCTTCTTGAGAAAATATACTGTTTCTTCTCTCCATATTCTAACTTTGGAACCATGCCATGCATGCCATGATGTCATCGCAGAAATGAGATGCAACTGAAGCATCATGATGTCATTAGCATCATTAGCATGATGACATCACGGCATGTTATGTCTCCCTGAAGACAGCCATGACTTCATAAAACCTTTCTGGAAAATTCAACGAACTCTTGCACTGGTCTGCACAATCAAAGCTGCATTCTTACATCACCTTATTTACTGAATTTCTACCTTTTCATATTAAACCAAACTGAATTAATCAGCCTGGATTCATACAAGGTCTTAAACCAGGAAAAAAAAAAAAGAAAAGAAAGATCTGAAGTTAATATTTAGCTGGCTTTGTAACTGCTAGTTTTGTCACTGACTTGGTTAAACAGGTGTTGTCTGTAACTAAGCCTTGAAGAAGGATGTTTGATCTGTTTGTACAGGGATGAAGTAAGTCCTTAGATAACCGACATGCATAGTGCATGAACCATGATCCTGGTTCATGTGTTAGGACAGAGGTCTTCAAACTTGGCAGCTTTAAGACTTGTGGACTTCAACTCCCAGAATTCTCCAGCCAGCTATGGAGAGTTGAAGTCCACATGTCTTAAAGCTGCCAAGTTTGAAGACCTCTGTGCTAGGATCCCCATAGAACTGTGCAGAGATTCTGCAAACACCTGAGCTGAGTTGACAGTTTAGTATGCATGGCTAAGGTGTAATCGGCTGCTTGTAACTCTGTGTTGCTGTAAACATAACCAGAGTGTTTTAGTGATGGCCAACTGAGCATATAACATCTGAATTGTATTATACTTCCATCGATTTCTGTTTTGCATTCCAGGTTAATCCTGGCAAATCAGGTGAGCTGGTAAGAACGAAAGCATTCTTGGAAGTGGACTATAGGCTGTATCCAACCAAGGAGTTCACTTGCTAGGGCTTTTTGTATGAATTATTCATTTCCCAAGCAGCAATTCTCCCTGGTAGTAAATATACACTGCAGTTCCTAAAATCTTGCACATTAATTTAGAATTGCCCCCTCCGTTCTCCCCCGCCCCAAAAAAATCCTTCTGAAAAAGAAGGAATGAAAAGGAGAATAAAACCAACATTTATGTTCTATTATACAGAAATAAATAAAACAAAAGAAAGAAATAAGGGACGTGGGGGCTCAGTGGCTAAGATGCTGAGCTTGTCGATCAAAAGGTCAGCAGTTCAGTGGTTCGAATCCCTAGTGCCGCGTAATGGGTGAGCTCCCATTAACTTGTCCCAGCTTCTGCCAACCTAGCAGTTTGAAAGCATGTAAAAATGCAAGTAGAAAAATAGGGACCACCTATGGTGGGAAGGTAACAGCGTTCTGTGTGTCTTTGGCATTTAGTCATGCCGGCCACATGACCACGGAGACGTCTTCGGACAGCGCTGGCTCTTTGGCTTTGAAACGGAGATGAGCACCCCACCCCTAGAGTCAGGAATGACTAACACATATGTACAAGGGGAATATTTACCTTTACCTTTATACAGAAATCATTACAAGTTGGATAATTATTTCTTTTCTATTTTTCTTTTTTCTGCTCTTGCACTTTTGCCCTTCTTTTTTCTTTCTTTTTTTTTCTTTTTTGTACTTTATATCAGTTTTTAATCTTCCTTTTTTAAAAAAATTTAGCTATATAAACCCATTAATATATTATCAAACAAGTTGGATAATTATGTAGATGCCAGAGCAATTTGTAAAGGCTCTGTGGGGGTTATTAGCATTTTGTTGAGATGAACTCTATAAAGGCTTTTGTGTTTTGTTTATGTTTTGATTTAAAGTTTTCACAAAATGGCTTTAGGACAAATTAAGGAAGAAAACAACTGAAAATGTCAGAAAGAGTTATTTATTTGCCACCCTGCCAAACACACCACTTTTTTTTTTATTGCCTTCAATGAAAAACAAAGTTTGCATTTCCATGGGATAAACTTCTCCAAAATGCCATCCTGGCTAAAGGGCAGATATCATAATTAAGTGGAAAATGTTTTATGTGGCATGCCATTTTACTTAAAAAATCCCCATTGCAAGAATAAAGTGTGTATCAAGGATTAAGGATTTCACCTCTTAGACTGGCCTGTCTAAAACAGAATTCCCTAACCAGGTTTCTCTGGGGAAAACATTTCCCAGCTAGCATAACTGACAGATTTCAGAGATTTGAGTTGTGCTGTGAGAGATTGGTTAGCCTCTGCATTATAATTCTGAGGACCTTATCCACCAGACTTAAGCCATATGTGATGGCAGGGAGATTTCAGATGCATTCAAGGGCAGGATCTCAGTTGCCATGGGGTTAATCATGAAACTTGAAACCCCATGTTAATTAAAACTGCATCAAAGAAGAGGCCTCAAATGTTCTTCAATGCATTTCAAAGCCCTTCACTATAAAGATTTCTACACTGATAAATTAAGTGTGAAAAGAATTTGATATACAAAGTTTGTGAATCTACCATAAAAAATTAAATTACATTTGGTTTACTGATTACATATTGAATGGTACTGTTAATACTGGTAACCTTTAATTATGAATGGTACTACCAACAGTAGTAATGTCAATAGTAATTGTTACTATCATCATCAATATGTTTTTTCTCCTCTGGCCTTTTCTCTGTTCCCAGATCCAAGTGATCAGTTTTGTCACAGAACAGAACTGGGACTCCCTAGAAGTCTTTGATGGAGGGGACAATACAGCCACCATGTTAGGCAGCTTCTCAGGTAAGATCTGAAGCTACCATAGAAGGGGCTGTGACTGCTTACCTATCAGGTATTTATGTTCAATAAATAATTATTGTAAGCTGCCCAGAGTCACATAAGTGAGATGGGCAGCTATGTAAGTCAAATCCAAATCAATCAATATTGAGGGCAGGGTGTTTAGGATTGAAACCAGAGTTGACTTCAAAAGTGGTTTTCTCAAGAGAAAGAAACCAATATCCAGAGCTGTAGGAGACGAGCAGGCAGAGCTGGGGGCAGAATTAAACATGTCATCAGCTTAGAGTCCTTGCATGGCCACAAACGGTTGAAGTCCAGCCCCTTTTGAATTCCGTTGACTTCTATCTGGCACCGATTCAGATTTGAACGTTAGTTGACTAGATTTTTGTCCATAGACTTGAGCAATAAATCTTTCTGAACTGCATCTTAATGCATATTCCTGATCATTTGTGCCCAACAGAGCAAGGTAATGGTAGAAAACCAATCCTTGCACTGCCACTGCTGTTCTTCAGTTGAGCATCTAAAATCAGTTCTTTGATCAACTTGAAAGAAGATCACAGGGAATCACAGGGAAGTCTGGGATGGACAATCTGGATGCCCCTGCCTCCCACTCAAGCTCATTTCCCAAAATTCACAAAGTCATAAAACTTTCAGATGACAAATGGAAATTGTATTAATGCATGAGATGTCAATATTTACACACACCATTTAATTAGATATTTGTCTTCATGCCACATGAGCCATAACATGCAGGGGTGGGTTTAAAATTTTTTAGCAAGGGCTTTTCTGCCCGGTTGCTGGGTAGGCGTGGCCATGGTAGGCGTGGCCTAGTCGGCCTCCTGCACCACGGCTGGGGGGAGCATTTTTGCCCTCCCTGGGCTCCAGAGGCTTTCGTCGAGCCTCCTGAAGGGTGAGAACGGCCTTCCCAGGCTCTGGAGGCCTTCCGGAGGCTGGAAACGGCCCTGAATGTCTGATAGGCCCGTTTTTCACCCTCCCCAAGCCTCCACATGCGCCCTGCACTTACCTGCATCTAAAACAAGCCACGTGGGGACTCCTGGGAGGGGCGAGGTGGGGTGGGCAGGGCCAGCCAGGAGTGGGATTTGGGGATTCTCCGAACTGCACAGAATCTTAGCTAGAGGTTCCCCCGAACCCCTGCGAACCCCCAGCAGCCCTCCCCTGATTACATGTCTAAATTCTTGGATGAGATTATTGTGAGATAGGAAGAGAGAGGGAGGGAAGGAGGGAGGGAGGGAGAATATATAGTATTAGTGTAATTTAGCTTCAGACAACCAGCCACAAATATTGGGTGTTGGGGTGCTGTTTGTCTCATTACAGCCATGTTAGTCACAAGTGTGACAGTGGCAGAGTATAAACACCAGTGTCATGCTGTTCCTAGCATTTCTTTGCATAGATCTAATTCCTTGCTTGGCTTGCAAGAAATTATGAAGCAGGAAGTATTGAATAAAAGAGGATTCCTGCAGGATGAAGGAGGGCCTTGCCAGTATGTGGGAACAAGAAAGATAGAGACTGCTAGGTAGGCAGGGAACAAAAGGGTGACTAACCGTAACAAATACTGCTCCATAATAATAATAATAATAATAATAATAATAATAATAATAATAATAATTTTATTTCTATACCGCCCTTCTCCCGAAGGACTCAGGGCGGTGTACAGCCTATTTAAAAACACAGACAAAACAATGATATAAAATTTAAAATAATTAAATAAGTGGCTCAAATTTAAAACCCCAATAAATTTAAATACCCCAATTTAAAACTATTGTGTTGATAGTCCGGCTATCATAAGGGAAGCTGCTAGCAAAACACATGACTACAATGTGGTATAAGAAGAGGCAAGTAACATATCTGAAAAGTGTAAGTGGTATATAAAAGAAGACATGGTGTATTAGGTGCAAGGAACCAAGAATGACACAGTGAGTTACTCAGACTGGTTTTCTATTGTTACCTTCCTCTGTCAAGACACAAAGAATCAGAACCATACATTAAACTGCAATTCAGAAAGATTTATTGCTCAAGCCTATGCACCAGAGGTGAAATGCTACCGGTTCGACTGAACCGATAGCGATGGCAGTAGGTGGTTCGGAGAACTGGTAGCAACGGCAGTGTGAGACTCTGCCCACCCGCCCAGTCATCATTACTTCCTGGTTTTAACCTGCCTTTTTACCCACTGCACATGCGCAGAAGGGTTTGTGCATGCACAGAGGGTCCATGCATGCATGTGATGTGTGCGTGAGAGCGGAGCAAGCGTCCGCATGCAGCGCATGCACTTCCGAACCGGTAGGGAAGGTAAGTAGATTTCACCCCTGCTATGCACTAGAATTTAGTTTCTTTATTATTCCGTGCCTATAGACAGGGTTCTTGCCAGACTAAAGCACTATCAAACATATCATATGAACAATCAGGGAGGGTTCCTTCTGGGCCTCTTTCTGCATACTAGGGATTCAAGGCTGATTTGTCTTTTAGCTCCTTGGGAAAGAACTCCTCCTACCTGAGACTCAGTGTCAGATTCCACCAGGTGGTACTTTCTTCTGCTTCCCAGTCATTTTTACTTGCACAGATCGACAAAGCTTTCAATTATATGAATTGTTCATACTTTTAAAATTCATCTAGAGCAGGGCTGTCAAACTCCAGCCTGTGGGCTGGATGCGTCGCACACTGGCCATGCCCACGCCTGGTTTAGCTAAGGGGGGAAAAAAGTCCCGATATGTCTTGTGACGCCACCATGATGATGTGAGTTTGACAGTCCTGATCTCGAGCAATGTATCTCAACCTGGGCAACCTGAAGATGTCTGAACTTCACTCCCAGAATTTCCCGGCCAGCATGTCAAGATTGGCATGAACAGGATCCTCTCCTAGCAATGTCAGGGTTCCAAGGAACACCCCCAACGTAATAAAACTCCGAGGCCTGAGGTTTCTCAAAGTTCCGATTTATTAGAGATGTCATGTTGGCACATCTGGGAAAACCCAAATCTGAAAGCTTCCAGGTTTTCTCCACCCAGCTAACAGTTCACAGCCCTGCCCCACATTCACAAGTTCATCACATAGTCTAATCAATTATTCACATTCAACTGGATATAATTTTCAGGCAGTCTCCATCAGTCGCAGGCAAAAGTCCTTGAATACGGAAGGTTGTTATGACTAACTTTCTACTGCTCCAACAAATTTCCCCCCTCCCAATTTCCCAGGGTAAAATATGTGGCAGTTAGGAAGCAAAAAGGAAAACTGTCTTCCAAAACTGACAGCACTCTAAAACATGCCCTCTGAGTGATTCCTTCCTCTTGTCTCTCTCTCTCTCCCCCTCTCCCACTTCCATTAGGTACCACTGTCCCTGCCTTGCTCAACAGTACCTCTAACCAGCTGTATTTGCACTTCTACTCTGATATCAGTGTCTCTGCTGCTGGATTTCACCTGGAGTACAAAAGTAAGCTCATTGCAGCGCAGTGCTGATTGTTTAGATTGTGTGTGCTGAGTTGCAGTCATTATGGAAATGGAAGGTGTGCCGTGTCCCATGTCTGATGGATCCCAGATTTAATAAATCCAAGCAACTGGAAGAAAGGGATGGGATATGCAATCAGGGACTAGTAAATTCTCAGAGAAGTGCCTTGGGTGGACTCTAGAACAGTTTGGATTTAAACCTACTAACTACAGAATCTAGAAATTAATCCAAAAAGTGTTACTATTGGAGGAGGCCATTAAGCCCAAATCCCAGATTAGTGCAGGAATCCAACTTCCCAAATCCAGTGTCCCAGTGGTCAGTTGCCCCTGGTTCGCACCGGTTCTATAGAACCGGTAGTAAAACCGGTGGGAGACTCCGCCCACCGACCCCGACGTCATCAGAACACTTCTGCACATGCGTGCGCGGCCCTGTTGCAAACTGGTAGTAAAGATAAGTAGAACCCACCCCTGCAGTGTCCCAAATAAATGACTCTCTAACTTCAAGTTGAAGTCATCCATTGAATGAGAGCCTACCACCTTCTTTGGTAACTGGTATTTCTGAACGTGCAATTGGTATTGAAATTTGCCATCTTGTAATTTAAATGCTTTATTTCATGCTCAATTTTGGATTTTGGAATAATAATGTCTTGGCTGCCTTCTATAGTACATCCCTTCAGGTTTTTCCAAAACGATGCCATATTTCTTCTTAGTTTCTTTTCTCAAAGGTGAATATAACTATTCCTTTTAGCTCCTCCATGTAGAAATTAGGCTCTGATCTCTTATTCATACTCACTGACCTTCCAAAATGTTCCAGTATTCCTGAAAAGAAAAAGCAAAATACTCAGAATTGGACACAGGATTCCAGGTATAGCATGTCCAGGATCAAATAGTAGAAAATAGTAAGGAGAAAAATCCACACCCCAAGTCATCTGCACCTCTTACCAACATCTGAACACTATTCGATTGAGGGAAGGCATTTTCTGCACCGGGGCCAAATTTATGTTGGGATATGTAATGTTGGAATTTCTGAGATTGAGAGAATAGTGCTGCCGACAACATCTAGAGAAAATTGCTACATTCAGCTTTTCAAGCTTTCGAGGACTTAAATCCCACCTTAATATACCTGAGTAGAAAGAATATTCTTCACCATTTTTCTCTAACCTGTTTGAGTTTGTCTGAAAACGTCCAAATGATAGTGCTATTATTTCCTGTGGTTTGCAAATTGTACTTTTGTTGATCCATATAGTCCTTTAAAGGAACCTTATTTTTAAAATTATGGAGCTTGGAGCAGATCATAAAACATCTATCCTTGTGTACAATAGCCAATCTTGCTTTAAAAAAAAAGGTTATTGATTTTTCAAAGATCACTTAATGTTTTTGTCAATACATACACTATTGTGTAATGATTATATGCAATGGTTGTCTCCCTGTTAGCAAATACTTCTTCCCTGAATTAAAATTCAAACTATGTTTTTCCATCCCCTCAAGATTTATTTCTGAGATTTACCAGGTGGACACAAAAGATAGAGCTAGTTAATTAGGGATGCTAGAGATTGATCTAAGGTTTCATGCATTTTTTCTGCTATCGAACTATGGATGCTGTTTAAAGATTTATCTTGTCTGGTCATAAAACCAATCCTTTCATTACTAGCTATACTGATTGGCATTAGTTTTTCATGGCCTTAGGCTAAAGGATTTGTGGAGTAATTGAAGACAGGAAGTGCAGGTGGGAGAGCTAAATCTTCTTTAGAATTGGCCTTTGAACCCTCCCCTTTTAAAAAGATTTTGCAAGCATTAGGAGTAGTGGCTCAGGAATTCCGGGACCTGAAGTCTACAAGTTGTAAAGTTGCCATAGTTGCCCACCCCTGCATTAACGTGACAGTTAGAAACAAACTGGGGCACTTAAAGCTCTGTACAAATGAGTTAAAGATCTATATAGACTTCAATATTTGAGTGGCTGCCACAAAGATGAGAGGGAGTCAAACTATTTTCCAAAGCACCTGAAGACAAGACAAGAAACAATGGATGGAACGTAACCAAGGAGAGAAGCAACCTAGAACTAAGGAGAAATTTCCTATCCATTAGAACAAATAATCAGTGGAACAACTTGCCTCCAGAAGTTGTGAATGCTCCAACACTGGAGGCTTTCAAGAAGAAACTGGAGCGCCATTTATCTGCAATGGTATAGGGGCGTGATGGCGAACCTATGGTACATGTTCCAGAAGTGGCACGCAGAGCTCTCTCAGTGGGCATGTACACTGTCATCCCAGATCAGCCAGCTGGTTGTGTGCATGCGCGCCGGCCAACTGATCGTCGGGTTTCTGGTGCTCTGGTGCATGTGTGCACCTGCGCCTTCCAGTTTGGGCACTCTGTGCTTAAAAGATTCACCATCACTGGTATAGGGTATCCTGTTCAAGCAGAGGGTTGGACTACATGACCTCCAAGGTCCCTTCCAACTCTATGAGTTATGGTCCTTCTCCAAAGGCCCTTTTCTGGCAGAGGTAATTTTACAAAGAAGTTGGAGAAGAAACCATATCCTCTATCCCACATGCCACCATCTCTCCCCATCAAGTGCTGATCAGGGCAGGAGGTAGAAAAGAATCCACGTGATACTGAGCCAAGCACCTCAACAGTTTCATGTGTTGAATCCGTCAAACGGAAGCCCTGGTGACCAAAGCTGCATGATATAGTCTATGCACTATATCCCCACCATAGCCAGAGCTCAGGCTGAGACCATCAGAACAGATGGTCCTTATTCTGAAGCTTCTGAATGAAGTCCCATGGTGGAAAAAACAATGGCAGTGTCCTTTTTCATTTCACCAGAGTAGATCATCAGCGTGTATTTGCATAGGGACTGTACACATGTGTTACATGGGGGGAGTATTCTGAATTTGGAGACACAGCATATTTAAATGTAGAATTAGTGGTGCAGGATTTAATTCTTGAATCTTCCATCATGGGCTAAATAATAGTGCACTGATTTTAATGCATTTTAATTGGGATTCTGCCATATTGAAGGAAAGCTTTATTCTTTTTTAAGCCCACTGTTCTGCCATCATCTTCCAGTTAATTGATTTCTGCAAAATATTCAATAAAGTTTCTTAAGAGATTCTCATAAATAAGATAACAAAGTGAGCTGCACTGTGCTACTACTGGATGGAGAAAAGCTGACTGAGCAACCATTGAGAAGTGTATATCACTGGCTCTCCCATCAAACAGGGGTGAAATGTACCATTCTAGGGCTTGTGCAATTCAACGTATATTGTGAATGAGGGGTTAGAAAATAACAACAGAAAGATGCAGTGATAATAAACACCATAGAGAACAGTATCAAGATTCAGGAGGTCTTTGACAAACTGGGCAGAAACCAGTGGTGAAATTCAATTTTTTTTACTACCGGTTCTGTGGGCGTGGCTTGGTGGGCATGGTGTGACTTGGTGGGCGTGGCTTGGTGGACATAGCAGGGGAAGGATACTGCAAAATCTCCATTCCCACCCCACTCCAGGGGAAGGATACTGCAAAACCTCCATTCCCACCCCACTTCAGGGGAAGGATACTGCAAAATCCCCACTCCTGGGGGAAGGATATTGCAAAATCTCCATTTGCACCCCACTCTGGGGCCAACCAGAGGTGGTATTTGCTGGTTCTCCAAACTACTCAAAATTCTGCTACCGGTTCTCCAGAACCTGTCAGAACCTGCTGAATTTTACCCCTGGCAGAAACCATCAAGATTAAATGCAAAGTCCTTCATTTGAGTAAGAAAAATCACAGGTATGATTAAGGGATGGGAGTGGTGAAGTAGGCAGGCATTCTGGGCAACAATACATATGAAACTTTGATATTTTTGGAGATCAAGAACTGAACATGAGCCAACAAAGCTAAAGAAAAATGAAATATAAACTTAAAGGTAAAGGTTCCCCCACACATGCATGCTAGTCTTTTCTGGCTTTAGGGCGATGCTCATCTCCATTTCAAAGCCAAAGAGCCAGCCCTGTCTGAAGACGTCTCCATGGTCATGTGGCCGGCATGACTCAATGCTGAAGGTGCACGGAGCACTGTTACCTTCCCACCAAAGTGGTCCCTATTTTTCTACTTGCATTTTTTACATGCTTTCAAACTGCTAGATTGACAGAAGCTGGGACAAGTAATGGGAGGTCACTCTGTTACATGGCACTAGGGATTTGAACCACCGAACTGCTGACCTTTCTGATTGTCAAGCTCAGTGTCTTAGCCACTGAGCCACTGCATCCCCTTAATACAATCCTAGGCTGCAACAAATATAATGTCAAGACCAAAAGAAGTCATTGTCCTCTATTCTACATTGTTCAAACTATAGTATATCTAGAATAGTATAACCAATTCTGGCCACATTTTATGAAGAACCTCAACAAATTATTAGTGTCCTTCTCAACAAAGGTGATAAAAGGCCTGGAAAAGAAAAAAGAGACCTTACAAGAAACAGTTGAAGGTGATTTAGCTTGGGGAAGAAGATATTAGGAGGAGAAAAATATTAGGAGGTTATCCAATATCTGAATTGCCATAATATAAAAGTTGAGGCAGAATAGTTCAGAGTTGTTTCAGAAGATAGGACAAGAGGACAAAACATAAGAAATAGATTTCAGGTAAACATCAGGGGAAAAATTATTATTAATAATGATTGTTCAAGAGATGGTGGGTTTTACCATCACTGGAGGTGTGTAAGCAGAGGGAAGGTAACAGGAATGCTGTAGATTCATGAAATGAAGTTAAGGGTGGATGAGATGATCTTCAGGATCCCTTTTACCTCTTACCTTCTATAATTCTTCAGTGGAAGGTAATATTATGGTGCAATAATCAAGTAGAGATCATAGTTTAATGAACATACAGGTTGGTAGACAACAAAGTCAAGGCCTGATAGAAAACTCAGTATTTTCAGAATGGTTTGTTTGATAAAAATCATGAAAACTTGAAACTCTGAAAAAATAATATGATTGAGAACCATTCCCATCCTGCTAAAAATGTTACACTATATGAAGTCTTCACTCCTTCCATTGTTTTTCTACACAGAAAATCTCTTGATCAGCCTCCAGTACATTTAGTGAGTTGTCCAGTAGACAAAATAGAAGAGATTTTTGCCTTGCACTGTTCACAGTTGCTGTATTCATAGGCTAGGTAGATCAACAGACTAAATCAATGTAGCAGCTTTATACATTCCCCATGTCAAGACAAATTTCATGCTGCTCAGGCACCTGCATAGCTGGCACTTCATAACAATAACATTTTTGATACCAAACTGTTAAGAGTTCTCCAGGGCAAAGTGCTGTGGAATTAATCAACTTTCAGAGCTTAGTTCCCATACAGAAATATAAAGGATAATAGAGGGACTAGCTGCTCAACTGGCCATTTCCAGGAGCAGAAAAAGATGAAGCTTATAAAGAGAGATTAAATATATATTTTTGCTTTGGGGTTTGCTTGACATATCAACAAAGAGCCTCTTAAAAAGCTTTTTTTTTTCTTCTCTTTCTGGAGGCTGTTTTTTAGGAACTCAAAAATACTCTTTCATTTCTCCTGCCTTAACTCATCTGCATTAGATTTTTGAGTGCTAAAAAAAAGTCAGAAAGCCTATTTAGTGAAAAATCCTTTATATCTCCACATACATTCATTCATTTAGTACCATTTTTTCAGCTCCTTAGTCCAAATGATTCAGAGGTTCAAGGTTAAAAGTGCTCTTAGAAACCTTAGAAATCCTCATACCAAAAAAATAAAAATAAAAATGCAAGTTTGGGGCTAGAACAGGGTGAAATCCAGCAGGTTCTGACAGGTTCTGGAGAAATTTTGAGCAGTTTGGAGAACCGGTAGCGGAAATTTTGAGTAGTTCACAGAACCAGCAAATACCACCTCTGGCTGGCCCCAGAGTGGGGTGGGAATAGAGATTTTCCAATATCCTTCCCCTGGGAGTGAGGTGGGAATGGAGATTTTGCAGTATCTTTCCCCAGCCACGCCCACAGAACCGGTAGTAAAAAAAAATTTGGATTTCACCACTGGGCTAGAAGTATTGCCATCGATGGCAATACTTTGGACAAAGATCAGGGTGTCCCGATAGAATACAAATTAAGCAGATTTAGTATGCTGCAGATACCATGTGCTGCATTGTACCATACTAAAGAGCCCGTGCAACCTTGGGCTGCATCAAAACAGAGGTAGAATATTGGGATCATGGGAAGTAATAGCTGCATTAATCATACCACACCTAGAATGCAGTGTCCAGTTCTGTTCATCCCAAGGCAACATGAATACTGAGGAACTGGAAAGTGTTCAGAAAAAAAAGCAACATAGATGGTGAAAGGCTTGCGACCAATGAGGAATGGTTAATGGAATTAGGTAAGTTTAGCCTTAAGGAAGAGAAAGTGTAGCTGAGGCATAATAGCAATACTTGAAAGAGTGTAACAGGGATGAGAATGTGGGTTTATCTGGGGGAAGGACAAAAACCAAGGAGTGGAAACTTTACAAAGAGAGATCCAAACTCAAAATGTGGAATTTCCTGATCATCAGAGTATTAAGCAATGGAACAACCTGCCTCCTGGAGTCATGGAAGCTCCATCACAGAAGACTTTCAAGGGGAAGTTGGATAGCCTTTTCAGCGGTAGTATGAGAATTCTTGTCCTGGGCACCCTTGGACTAGCAGACCCATCCAATACAACGAGTCTGTGTTCTGATCTATTCCATTCCTATCCTATGACCGATAGTCTATTCCTATCCTATGTTTTGATACACAGTATAAGATAAACAACAGAAAAGAGGGATGGAGGAACAGGTGCAGCTTTTTCATATACCTGCACTGAGAATATCCTCTGGGCCAATGCTGCTGAAAAGTCTTCACCTGACTTCAAAGCTGGACCATAATGCACTGAATCTGTCCTTGGCATCTCTGAAGGGCCAAGTCAGGGACTCAGATGATGTCTTCCATGAATCAGGTTTGAGGAAAAGGTCTCCAAGAACCTTGGAGGGGGCAGGGAGAAAAAAAACTCACATTAGGTAAGGCAAGTCAGAGTGACATCAAACAATGCTGACTTGTGTTGAAGTTCATCCAAGGTGCAAGGTATTGAAATCATACAGATAGAAAATGATACTTAAGACGTGACTGTATACATTGCCCAAGAAAATGAACTGGTGGATCATCAAACAAATCAACCCAGCATCCTTACTGAAGGAACAAATGACCAAGTTCAAATTCTTCTTCTTCAGACACATTATGTGAAGAACCAGGTCTCTGGGGGAAAAAACTCAAACACTGGGAAAGTGGGATGAATTTTCTTAATTCATGGTATCTACAGTAGCTAGAATAGAATAGAATAGAATAGAATAGAATAGAATAGAATAGAATAGAATAGAATAGAATAGAATAGAATAGAATTTTTATTGGCCAAGTGTGATTGGACACACAAGGAATTTGTCTTTGGTGCATACGCTCTCAGTGTACATAAAAGAAAAGATACATTCATCAAGAATCATAAGGTACAACACTTAATGATAGTCATAGGGTACAAATAAGCAATCAGGAAACAATATCAATATAAATCGTATGGATACAAGCAACAAAATTACAGTCATACAGTCTAAGTGGAAGGAGATGGGTGGTGGGAACGATAATAGTGCAGACTTAGTAAATAGTTTGACAGTGTTGAGGGAATTATTTCTAGCTATAGCCTGTTTGAGTAGTGATACATGCACAAATGGATAGATGCTAAATACATACTGATTAACTGTTTGTGCTTCCTTTTAGCTGTGGGTCTCTCCAGTTGCCCAGAACCTGCTGTCCCCAGTAATGGCCTGAAAATTGGTGAAAGATATGTGGTGAATGATGTGGTCTCCTTTCAATGTGAGCCAGGATATGCTCTCCAGGTACCTACCCACTCTCCAAATCAGTGGTCCCCAACCTTTTTATCGCCGCGGCCCGCTGAGCGCGTGCAGGGGTGGGGGCACGGCCCAGGAGCTTTTGCGCACGGCCCATTGCGCACGGCCCAGGAGCTTTTGCGCACGGCCCAGGAGCCTTTGCGCTGCAGCGTTCATGTCCCCCGGCCGCTGCGCGGCCCGGTGCCAGGTACTCCACGGCCCGGCACTGGTCCACGGACCGGGGGTTGGGGACCACTGCTCCAAATAATTATTTAAGTCTGGGGGAAAAATGAGTTAAAGTGGATTAAAAATCATTGCCTTTGTCAAGGTAAATCGAGACATCAATATCACAGCCCATTCTAATGTCTGGCTACCATGGAAAAGAAAATATGGGAAGAAAATTATTGTATGAACTTTATGTAATTATCTCAGAGCAGTGTTTTTAAAACTTGGCAATTATAAGATATGTGAACATCAAGTCTAAAAATTCCTGAGCCAGCATGCCAAGTTTGAAAAATCCTGCCTTAGAAGAAGCTTGCAAAATCCTATCCAATGAATATGAATAACATTTGACATAGAATACAGCGACTTCAAATTAAGGGAATTGCTTCAATGTCGTATGAAACTCTCAATCTCAATCATAGCACTTCCTGGATCTCTCAAAAGAACACTAGAGAAATATTTGGTACTTGAAGGCAAAGAATCTTATTGTAACTTTTGTGGGATAACATTCCTTTGAAGTCTCTTTTGACAAGACATCAGCATTACATATAAAGAGCATCTGTAGGTGCCACTCAAATTATATCAAATGCAATATTTCTAGGTTATCTTGGAGAGGTTGCAATCAAATTGATCCATTTTTAACATCTTTGGTGAGGATGCCTTTGGTTAAAAGTGTTTGAAGACTTCAGGAGAATTGAGTAATTTGAACCTTCCTGTTGCTTTGCGGTGTAAAAATTGATGCAACACGAGGAATTGATTTCATTTCCTGTTGTTTCCTGCAAGGTATCTTACTGGAAAATACTGGACAATCAAATTTACACCTTTCTCTGCATTAGTAGTATTTAGAAGTGTGGGAGATGGGTTTTGCTGAAAAATTAATGCAAAATAAAACACTAGAATTGTAGAGAAACACTCCAGAATTAATGGAAGGTACTGTGTGTTCAAAATTATTCTTATTTATACCATATTTTACCATTTCTTAGAGATAAACACTTTTTCCATAATACATTTTCCTGATAAATGTCATTCTGGGTGGAAACACTTTCAACACCCATATTCAATACTGTTATTATACTTCTTTTGAGCATCTCGTATTTATTTGTACGTTGTGTGTGCTTTTGTACCTATGTATAGACACACACAAACGTCTGTGTACAATATCTTCTTTTTCAAAATTTGCTTTGTCTTTTCTCTATTTTCCTTTTGGAGGGTACCTTTAACTCTTCTCTTGATGTTTTGTTCATTTAATGAAAGAAAGCTATCTTATCTTAGAATTCCAGGCTGCAGGATGTATCGCTTCCTTTCTTTGCTAAAGAATGTTATTTGGCTGAGATAGGTACCCTCCCTATTCTTTCCATTTGGCCTGTTTCTCAGTTCCTTCATGCTTCCTACTTGCTAATGGTTTTTTTTTTTTTCCTTTCTTTTTTTCTTTCTTCCTTTGCTTCAGGGGCACTCTCATATTTCCTGCATGCCAGGAACTGTGCGACGCTGGAACTATCCTCCTCCACTTTGCATAGGTAAAAGTTTATTTAGTTCTTTGCCAGGGATCCTCCCTCCCACCCACCTTTTTTTCTCTCTCCCACCTGTCTTCTCCCCTCCCTCTCTTCTTTCTCCCCGCCTTTCTTTTCTCCATCCCTCCTTTCCTTTCTTTCTCCCTCTCTTCTCCTCCTTCCTTCCTTCCTTCAGTGGTGGGTTCCAAAATTGTTTACTACCGGTTCTGTGGGTGTGGCTTGGTGGGCGTGGCTTGGTGGGCTTGGCATCGGATGTTTACTGCAAAATCCCCATTCCCTCCCGATCAGCTGAGACTTGGGAGGCAGAGAATAGATGGGGGCAGGGTCAGTCAGAGGTGGTATTTATCGGTTCTCTGAACTACTCAAAATTTCCGCTACCGGTTCTCCAGAACTGGTCGGAACCTGCTGAAACCCACCTCTGCCTTCCTTCCTTCCTTCCTTCCTTCCTTCCTTCCTTCCTTCCTTCCTTCATTCATTCATTCATTCATTCATTCATTCATTCATTCATTCCCCAGTAGTGAGGGTCTTTAATTATTTAATATGTAGCTGACCTTTATTTTTGAACATTTCAAATCAGTATGCAAACCTGATGGTCCCACCTCCTGTTTCGTCATGAAAGGTGGGTTGGATTAAAAGCCCAATGGAGGTCTAGAATTTATGGTCCCCTGAGTTCTACCCTGTCTATACCAAAATTGACTCTAATTAGGAAGAGGAGGAATGAACAGGGCACTGCACCCATATGTTGCAGTCTTTCCTTGGCATATATGATCTAAGCCCGTGATGGCGAACCTATGGCACGTGTGCCACAGGTGGCATGCAGAGCCATATCTGTGGGCACACAAGCGTTGCTCTAGCTGAGCTCCAGCATGCATGCGCGTGCCGGCCACCTGATTTTCAGCCCTTCCGGGCCCACCGGAAGTCGGGAAACGGGCTATTTCCAGCCTCCGGAGGGCCTCCGGGGGTGGGGGGAGGCAGTTTTCACCCTCCCCAGGCTCCTAGAAAGCCTCTCGAGCCTGGGGAGGGTGAAAAACGGGCCCACTGTTCCATCATTTGCCAAAAGCTGGGGGAGTGGCGGGGTCACGCGCGCATGTGTGGGGGTGGTGGGGTGCATTGAATTATAGGTGTGGGCACGCACGCGCGCAAACCCCCCGCACTTCCCCCCATTTTTGGCATGTGACAGCAAAAAGGTTAGTCATCATTGATCTAAGCCTTGGACTGAGGACTGGGAGGGGCTTTGAAAAACAAAATACCAGCTATGGTAATCCTTGTTATATGTTGAGTCTTAGTTCATTTAATTTAATTATTCATGTTACTTTCTGATGTTCTGTTTTGACCTAGGCTTCCTGAGTCATTAAAACACATGAGTAGTCCCAAAAACCTCTTTTATTGCAACAACTGTGAATTACGTTCATTCACAGCTGAGTCCCAATTAGTTGCAAAAACTCCTTTGGGAGAAGTCCTTCAGGATAATCACCAACCTTTATCTCCCTTGACACTCTGTCACAGACCTACTTGGCAAAGCCACACGGAGTCCAGAATCAAACAGAGATGTCGACTGGGAACAGAATTAACAACGTTGCTTTCCTGCAAAGGGCCCACATGCCTTTGTTCTTCTTTTATGCCTTATGGGAGGGGCCAATCATCTCTAGGCCTTACTCCCGAGTCGTCCCTTTTGTTTTAACTGTTCTTGCCTTCTGGCAGCTCTGCTCATGCGCACACTAGGAACAGGCTTCTCCTGTTCCTCTGCCTCTCTGATGGCAGAGCCTGACTCTGGAGGCTCTGGAGTCTGCACATAACTCCCAGATGGCCCTGGCCCCATTTCTGCCTCTGACACAGAGCCCTCGTCCAAGCCTTCCTCAGACTCCAGGACTGGCCCATGTTCCTCCCCAGCCTCCTCACTGTCTGACTCTGTTGCCAGCTCCGCAGGCTGCTGGCGGACCACAACATGTTCCACTACTCGCTCACAAGTTAGTGAGCATCTGAATGTTGAAGAAATCCTTCTTTTGTGAAACTATATTCTCATCTAATGCTGATTTCATATTCTCTCATCTCCCTTTAAAACAACAAGCTATCTTGTAAGCTTTTGTGCTCAATTTTAGCCACCTCTTGTCTGTAGAAAACAAAGACGCCACAAATAAATGTCTTTTCCCAGCCAGGAATGAGGTCAGGAATAGATGAATGTGTTTGCTACCTTGCCAAGATTACAAACAATACCCAAAGAGCATCTGTTAGACTAGATCTTCAGTGATTTATGCAAGAATGAGAATAGTCAGTCTGCCTCCTTAAAACATATGATCTCCCCATCTTAAGGTAATGAAACTCATCGTCTAAATACTTTATTCCAGGTTGTATACTCTGTAGCCTATAAATAGAGGCTTTTTCTAGCAGTTATCTGTACGTGCTTGTAGGGTAATATTTTGCTGCCACTGGGATTCTCTCTGGTTTTCCTACTGATTTTGTGGATTTACTAAAAATAAATCAATGTGGATCAATAATAATCAGTTTGATGCAGGAAATGAAGTTAGGGGAGTACTTTGAAAGCTTCATTTTTTTTCTGGTCAGCATAATTGTTCTCTGCGACAGGAATAAAAGCAAAAGCATGCAATATGAAGGTGGAAACAAGGAATGATCCATTGATGTTGCTATGAGATAGTCATTCATTTTTGGAATTTCCAGATTATAGCCATTGTCTCTTCCAGACTGCAACAGAGGTGGGTTTCATCAGGTTCTGACCAGTTCTGGAGAACCGGTAGCGGAGATTTTGAGTAGTTTGGAGAACCGGTAGTAAAAATTCTGACTGGCCCCGCCCCCATCTATTCTCTGCCTCCCAAGTCCCAGCTGATCGGGAGGAAATGGGGATTTTGCAGTAACCTTCCCCTGGAGTGGGGAGGGAATGGAGATTTTGCAGTATCCTTCCCCTGCCATGCCCACCAAGCCACACTCACCAAGCCACACCCACAGAACCAGTAGTAAAAAAATTTGAAACCCACCACTGGACTGTAGGATATCTAATAGTATTTTCTAAGGGTTCTGTTAACCCAACATGCCAGACTAGGCTAAAATGTGTTAAGATAGCTTGTAATAGAGTAAGTTCTCAAAACCCAACTATTTTTAAATGTCTTTAGTGATTCGCAGTCATCCAGGCCATGGCTGACCCAAAGGCGCTTTTTTTCAAAAGGCAACTGGTCTTTCTTTGTTTTTTCTTGAAGAGGTTTCACTTCTCATCAAAGAAGCTTCTTAAGTTCAGTTCAGTTCAGTTCTTCAGAACTGAAGAAGCTTCTTGGACAAGAAGCAAAACGTCTTCAAGGAAAATCAAAGAAATCCAGTTGCCTCTTGAAAAAAAGCGCCTTTGGGTCAGCCAATTTTAGCAAGCTGTGTGAACCACACCAACCTGTTATAAGCATAATATCCTTGATGCATTGATTTACATTTGTATGAATGTGGCAGTTGTGTTTTAGGGCTTGGTGTTTCATATGAACCAAGCTAGTATTCACCAAAAAAATGTTATTTCCAGAGGAGATCATGTTTTAATATATCTTTGGTCTTCTAGTTATACTGTAACAATTTTGTCCTATGTTCCTTTTTGTTTGTGTTGTCTTCTGTGAACACTTTTGTCGTGTTCAGCCCATCAACATTTTGTTCCACGCAGTTACGAATAGTAATTGGAGGTGGCCTGCCCCTTATTTGCACTTCATCGGAACATTTTTATTTTGTCTGCCTGCAGCAGTGGTGGGTTGCTCCTGGTTCGCACCAGTTCGCAAGAACTGGTAGTAAAAATTTGTAGTAGTTCCGAGAACCGGTAATAACATTGGCTGGCCACGCCCCCGAACCGGTCCCCAACCTGGTCGCCGCTCGCTTACCCTGCCCACCTCATCAGAGGCTTTTTTTTTAACTTTTAAAAGCATTTTTTCTACAACCTCTTCAGCAGAAAAAATGCTTTTAAAAGTAAAAAAAAAAGCCTCTGATGATCCCGCGGCTCAGCTGGGATCATCAGAGGCTTTTCAAAGCATTTTTTTCTACAACCTCTTCGAAGAGGTGGTAAAAAAAATGCTTTGAAAAGCCTCTGACGATCCCAGCTGAGTTGCCTGATCGGCAGAGGCTTTTCAAAGCATTGTTTTCTGCAACCTCTTAAGGTTGTAGAAAAAAAGCTTTTAAAAGTTTTTAAAAAAAGTTGGCCACGCCCACCCAGTCGCATTACCCCCCGCCAAGCCACACCCACAGAACCGGTAGTAAAAAAATTTAGAACCCACCCCTGGCCTGCAGACTTCTGTTCCACGAACATGGAAATACTTGAATCAATATTGGCATAAAACGACTGAATCAGTGTTAGTATAAAAACCCTTACCCGTTTTTGAGTAAAGGAACAAGTGACAGATCAGCTTAAAAGATGAGGTCTTACAAGTTATTTTCCCCACACGCAGTAAACCCCTTGTGACTTTTAAAACATTGATCCACAATAGACATTACATTGAACATATATTTGCATTGAATTCCACAATACAACGAGTGCAGGAGTGAAATTTGACATCCAATATGTAGTAAGCTACAAAATATTCCCATTAAGAAAGGAATTTTAAATAAATTCTGAATTCTCTGGGGAAGAAGGGGAAGAAAGCAAAAGTAATGTTTCTCTTAATACTTTCTTAAAGCTTCTTTTGTCATTTGAGTTGGTATATATGGTGCTTTTCCTGGTCTTGATGTTTCCATTATTCATTGTTTTATCCTACTGAAGGGAACGTGGTTGCACAAATCTGAAATAAAAGAGGAGGAATTCTCCCTCTCTTGAGGTTTCAAGAAACTTAGGAAGCCAGGAAGGATGCTGACAGGTTTAATTTTATTCTTTGATTATTTAAAACATTGATATAGCTGCCCATTTTATAATAAACTTTGGGTGACTCCCAATCAAAAATTAAAACAACTTTCATTGAACGATAAAAGATAGAAAAATCACATACACACATATCCTTGGACACCTTATCACTTCAGACTTTGTACATCACTCTTCAGTGATGAGAATTTCTCTACTTTTCTCTTTTAAATATATTTTTCTTTCATCAAGTTATAGCTGATTTACATAGTTTTAAATATAGACATTAGCTAATAGAGAGGGCTATTAATGTGATTCTAAATATGGAGACATGAATTTCAAGTAATGCTTGAGCCTTCTGATTAAGAGAAGACCTTCTTTGTTCCTTGAACAAAACTTTTTCTATCTTTACATCTACACTGTTATTGAAATTAGAGAAAAATGAAAGTCCAATCACTGTCCTTGCCTTTATGACTTCCTTTTTTGTGTGTGGGGGGGGGGGGGGCAGGGTTTTTCCTCTCATGCATCCTGCACAGGGATGTCCACAGAGTGTGGTCAAAAAAAGATGGCAACTACTGTGGTGTGATTGAAGTTGTGCCCATTTTTTTAATGTGCGATGCACAAAAAGGCAGAGCTTAGATTCCATCCTCATAATCCTGAGGTTTTCAGGATTACAGATATTCCTGATCCTGCAGTTTCCTCCGAATCAAATTACACGTGCCTCGTGGTTTAATTTTAAAACTTCTATGAAGAATATCACTTCTATCAACCCTATTTACCTTTTTTGCAATCTCCTGTTTTGGGGGAAGAAAAGAAGGTAGCAGAAAGAGGGAACAATAGTCTCAGAACTGGAATGGTTGTCCCCACTCTGCTTCGATTTTGCCCATCCTTCTTTTCCTTTTACACAATGTCCAGCTATTTTTTAAGCGTCACATGATGTTGAATTTTTTTTTAAAGTAAAATATTTATTTTATTGGTTCGATTTATTTATTGGTTCGATTTATATGCTGCCCTTCTCCGGAGACTCAGGGCAGCTTACAAGGCATTAAGCAATAGCCTTCATACTTTTGTATATACCTGCTTAGTAGGGCTTTCCCCCCCACCCGGGGGGAGGTTTTCTTTTTTATACAAAGTCAGCTTATTGCCCCCACAAATCGGGTCCTCATTTTACCTACCTCGGAAGGATGGAAGGCTGAGTCAACCTTGAGCCTGGTGAGATATGAACTCGCAGTAATTGCAGGCAGCTGGCAGCTAAGTGCTATTTAACAGCACTTTTGTCCGCTGCTCCACCAAGGCAATATATACACCATATATTGATGTACAGAAAGAAAGCTAAATTGTCTTTTCATTTGTAATGTTGTGGAATTAAAACATGGATTGGTGAACCGAGTTCTGCTCACCGTGATATAAAAAAGATGTTGAGATCTTAGAAAGAGTGCAGAAAAGAGCAAGAAAGATACTAAGGGGCCTGGAGGCTAAGCCATATGATGAATGATTGAGGGAACTAGGTATGTCTAGTCTTACCAAGAGAAGAACTAGGGATGACATGTTAGCAGTCTTCCAGTACTTGAGGGCGAAATGGGACAACTTGTTATAGCCAACTTGCTTGGACAACTCACCAGGGACAACTCGCTGTGGGACAATTTAACAATTCTATTTAATTAATTAAAATAAATAAAAAATATTTTAATTTTTGCCATTCACATTTCGTTTTGTTTCTCCTTTTGCATCCTTTCTTTAATGAGTCTGTTCCACTATTTCTTTCATATTAGTGTAATTCCTGTCCTGCAATGAGTTGTCCTGCAGCGAGTTGACTGCAGCAAGTTGACCATGGCAAGCAAGTTGGCCATGGAGCGTTGGCCATGATGAATGATCATAGACCCACTTGAGGGTCTGTCACAGAAAAGAGGGAGTTGACCTGTTCTTGAAAGCATCTGAGGGCAGGATAAGAAGTAACAGGTAGAAGATCATTAAAGAGAGATCCAACTTAGAACTAAGGAGAAATTTCCTGATAATGAGAACAAGTGAAATGGCTTGCCTCCAGATGTGCTTGCTCCATCACTGGAGGTTTTTAAGACAATTTGTCTGGAATGATATAGGGGCTCCTGCTTGAGCAAGGGGTTGGACTAGACTACCTCCAAGGTTCCTTCCAACATTGTTATTCTATGTTCTTTGATTGTAAAACACCTATTTTTTTAAAAAAAAGAAATTTTCATGTGTTTGTTTTTACTGCCTCCTTTTAGAAACAGGGTGCTTAATTTGTTGCATCAGAATGCCTGATTTTCTGGCTGCACCTCCTGAATAAGAAATAGCCTTTGACAGCATGCTTTCCTTCCTTGCTTGGGAAAAAAAATGATAATAGAAAGGTATAAATATTGTGTCACATTCCGAAAGACAGAAGCAATCAAGTTTTGATAAACTGCTACCTTGTCCCTACAAAATGGACTGACTAGGGATTTCCCATCTTCCTTTATCCAGATGTTCCCCTTTTTAAATAATTGAGAAGGAGTTTCATTTAAACAGACATCAGGGGGTATGAAATTAGAAAGCAATAGAATCAGCAGGGGAAAAAATGCATAGAATGAAGGGAATCTGTGCTGTCAAATGTCCGGGTGGGTTAAAAGTCCTCTAGGTTCTGATGTGGACTGTATTGAGGGGAGCTAGAAGTCTACTATAGTCCAAGAAGTGGCCCTGGATATTGTGAGCCCTTCAATGTATATCAGACTGGGAAACCAATGTTATGAATGTTAATACTGTTTTTATTATAAGCCTTCAGTAACAGAATCTTACAAGTCTGAATATGCTTCATCTTCATGAGAACTACGGAAGATCAAGCCTGAGACACTTACTCTCTCAGATTACAATTCTACTCTGGACTCAAAATAGCCAACCTTTGTTTTTCCCATGGCTCTTCTTTCACTCCTCAAGGTTATTTCTTCTGCCCATTATAGATATACAACTGAAGATGGGAAATTGACCCAAATCTAGGAATTGAGAACAGGAAGGCATAACCTCCATAAGTTTCCTTCTTAGCATATAGGTAGTACATGATGGGAACTGAAATTGCCCCATGCTCCCTAGAATAGAAATTTATCTGTTTGGGAAGGACATTCATGGAGAGGCTTAAAAAAGGCAAATGATGGCCACAGCAATGATCATAAGATCAAGTCCATGCCCCCTTTTTTACTTGTAACACATATTAAAAAGGGCAGGGCTTCCAGTGTGTAGTTGTGGTCACCATATTGATTTTTTTAACCCCCCTCCTTCATGGACCCACCATCTCACCCCCAGTTCAGGGGTGAAATCCAGCAGGGTCTGATAGGTTCTGAAGAACCGGTAGCAGAAATTTTGAGTAGTTTGGAGAATCAGCAAATACCACCTCTGGCTGGTCCCAGACTGGGGAGGGAATGGGGATTTTGCAATATCCTTCCCCCAGGAGTGGGGAGGGAATGGGGATTTTGCAGTATCCTTCCCCTGCCACGCCCACCAAGCCATGTCCACAGAACCTGTAGTAAAAAAAATTGGATTTCACCATTGCCCCAGTTGGTGTGAAAAAAAACTAGTTTGATAAATTTTGACACAATTCTAGGTGAAGCTATCTTGTTAGTTCAACCTGGAGGGTGAACAAATGTGGACTAAGAACTGGGATCAATCCCCAGGCTTCCTTCATGACGTAGGGCTCCCTGCATTCCAAAACCCTATTTCAGTATATTATGACTTCATTTTAAATTTCAAATAAAGAATTCACACATTTGGTGAGGGACTTGGATTAACATGCAATCTATGAACCACTTACTATGCCTGACTTAGTTGAACATAATTCAATCTGTCTAGCAATGGATTTTGGCATCCCCTATTCATCTTTTTAAAGATGTTCTAGATGTGGTACACCGATCCTCAGCATATCAATCCTGTGCCCATCCATCAGCTCTTTCTTCAGTGGTCCTGACAGTCACTCAACCCAAAGACGTCTGCAATAGTTTATGACCATCTGCTTTATTGTAATTTTAACAGCCCAGTGTGGCGGAATCTTGGAGGAGATGGAAGGTGTCATCCTGAGCCCTGGCTTTCCTGGAAACTACCCTAGCAACAGTGATTGTACTTGGAAGATATCCTTTACTGTGGGATTTGGTAAGGAAATCACAGCATCCTTCCCATCTCAGATATCTCTTTTCAGATATTTTTCATGGCTTGATCCAGGATAAGCCAACCCTGATCCCCTTGGTTGAATGAATGAATGAATGCATGAATGAATGAACGAATGAATATATTTTTAGATTTTTTATTTTAAAGAGAAAATGTTTTGACTTACAAGGTTTTGTTTAATGAAAGCTAACGGAGTAGAAGAAAACAAAGGTAACATAGGGGAGATAGCAGTTCAGATAATACCACCTCACCTTTTCTAGAATTCCTTTGGTAAAACTTTCACATTCTAAATCTTCAACCAGCAAATGGATATGAATTCTATCTTCTTTCAAGACTTGAAATTGGTTTGCCAATTGCACAGTGGCAGATAGGACAGCACTCCAGAGGGTCAATGTCGTTGCCCAGAGGATCATTGGTTGCCCTCTCCCCTCTTTGGAAGAGCTTTATAGCTCCTGCTGCCCTAAGAAAGTTCAAAACATTCTTAAAGATCCATCTCATCCCGGGCATCCCTTTTTTTGAATTATTACCATCTGGCAGACGGTGCAGGTCAGTAAAAACAAGGACAAAGAGATTGAAAAACAGCTTCTATCCCAGGGCAATAATCATATTGAATTCTATGGTATAGTGCAATATCGGGTTTTCAATTTCAATTATATAGAATGTAAAGGATGTTTGGTGTTTTTATTTTTATAGTTATAATGTACACTGAAGACGGCATTTAATTTTGTTGTACCATGTGCAATGACAATAAAGTAAAGTAAACTCTTCCAGACTTCCTGCAGATAATTGAGAAGTATTCATAATAGTGACATTTTAAAGCAGGAGTGTTGTAAATAGTTATGTGCATATAATAGTTATCTGGAATGTTTCATTTTTCACCTTGAAATTTTTATTTTACCTCCAGAAAACCATTTCTTCCTTCGTGTTCCAGATGATACCCTTCCAAGAATGCATAAACCTCTCAATTTAACCTGTTCCAGAACCAGAACATTCTGGATCCAGACGTTTCCATGTTATATGTTTGTTTCAAAAAATAGATTAATTACATGAGTTTGGCCTAGAATAATGAGGTGGAAGGTCTCTTCACTACGATCATTTCCCTGTCAAAAAACTTAACTGTCTATTATAAGGCGTTTTGGATTCTAATCCCACTTTAGCATGAATAGATTCACACAAATGTATTCAGATATATTTCTTTCTAAAATGCTTTTTTGAAATGCCCCTTTTTTCTTTAACGTGATTATGGGTTTTGACTGGTATTAATATTGGAAGTAGGAATATTCAACTCCTCTCTGACCCAGTTGTTTCATCTAAGGGCCATATTGATAACAAACATTACTTTCTGTGATATTTTTCCATTTTTTAAGAACATAGACATTGTTCTGTTTTAATATATTATTCTGCACTTGTTTTAGTTGGTTCTGTTAAATAAATAATTATCATAATAAAAATAATTGCATGCAAGACCATTTCAAAGTCAAAAATAACACTTGATCCAGAAGCTGATGGACCATTTTTAAATTTGGTCATAAAATGTAATGAGTTTTTTAATGAATGCTATAACCCTTCCAATGCAAGCTCTTTTTCTTAAGTCTTGGATTCAGTGTAGGCTTCTTCTTCTCCTCCTTCTTTCTTCTCTTTCTTTCTTCTTCTTCTCAGTAGTGGGGAGATTGTCCTATCTAATTGTACCAGTTAAATCCAACATGCAAAATCCAAATGACTAGCTAATGGTACTGGAGGAAAGATGTAGGCAAACCATGAGTGGCTGGTTCTCCGTGATCCAACATCCAGGCAAGGCACATCTTCAGAGGTGGGTTTCAGAAGATTCTGACCAGTTCTGGAGAATCAATAGCAGAAATTTTGAGTAGTTCGGAGAACCGGTAGTAAAAATTCTGACTGGCCCCCGCCCCCATCTATTCTCTGCCTCCCAAGTCCCAGCTGATTGGGAGGAAATGGGGATTTTTCAGTAACCTTCCCCTGGAGTGGGGTGAGAATGGAGATTTTACAGTATCCTTCCCCTGCCATGCCCACCAAGCCATGCCATGTCCACCACGCCACACCCACAGAACCAGTAGTAAAAAATTTTGAAACCCACCACTGTCCTGGGTTCTAAGGGGCATAAAATGCTCCTAAATAGTGTTTAAGAAGCAATACATTCATGAGAACCAGGTTGATATAGTGGTTAAAGATACTGGCCTGGAAACTGGAAGACTGTAATTTCTAATCCTACCTTAGATATGAAGCCACCTGATGACTTCGGTCCAATAACGTCTCTCTCAGCCCTAGGATGAAGAAGGCAAGATAAAAACCACTTCTGAAAATGTTAGCAAGAAAATTGAAGGGACTTGTTCAAGTAATCACTAGGACAGTGGTGAAATCCACATATTTTTACTACCGGTTCTGTGGGTGTGGCTTGGTGAGTGTGGCTTGGTGGGCATGGCGGGGAAGGATACTGCAAAATCCCCATTCCTAGGGGAAGGATACTACAAAATCTCCATTCCCACCCCACTCCAGGGGGAAAGTTACTGCAAAATCTCCATTCCCACTCCACTTGTGGGGGAAGGATATTGCAAAATCTCCATTCCCACCCCACCAGCCAGAGGTGGTATTTGCCCAGTGGCGGGATTCAGCCAGTTTGCACCACTTCGGACTGCTTTCTGAGCAGTTTGGCAAACTGGTTGTTGGAAGAAATCATTAGGGCAGAGAAGAGAACCGGTTGTTAAATTACTTGAATCCCACCACTGTATTTGCCGGTTCTCCGAACTACTCAAAATTTCTGCTACCGGTTCTCTGAACTGCTCAAAATTTCCGCTACCGGTTCTCCAGAACCTGTCAGAACCTGCTGGATTTCACCCCTGCACTAGGAGTAATACTGATCATCTTTTGGCACCTACCACATTGTACAATATTGTTTATGAAAGTTTCTACTCTGAAACCTTTGAGAATTCTGCAAGATGTACTTTGGGGAAGAATGATGGAAAGTTAATCAAACACAGAATATTTGGCCAAGTTAATGAAATCTCCTTTCTCCCACATTCTCTGCCATGTGCAGGTGCTCATCTCCAGTTCTTAAACTTTTCTACGGAACCCAATCACGACTTTGTTGAAATTCGCAATGGGCCGTACGATACCAGTAACATCATCAGCCGATTTAGCGGGACTGACCTCCCAGGCTCTCTTCTTTCCACATCACACGAAACCACCATATATTTCCACAGCGACCACTCACAGAACAAGCCTGGTTTTAAGGTAGAATATCAAGGTAAGCAGCCAAGAAGGCTAAGAATGGAGCAACTCCATTGTCTCTGGAGCACTAGGCAAGAGTGATGAATGCTATAACTACTGTATTGTTTCGAAAGCAATAACTTTTAGGGTGTAATGGAAATCCTCGTTTTGCCCAGCAGTCTTGCTAAATCCTAGTAACCTGCCAATATAGACAAGTCAATCCGCAATTTATTTTCCAGAATATATTAATGTTATACCTAAGAATTCAACCTGACCTTAATTTGCTTGGTGCTCAGAGACCTCTTAATTACTACATCAGACAAATTCCTCCTTGCACAAGTCTATTCTTTAGCTTTTTCTCCGTATTTCTGCTTCAATGCAACAAATGTCTTCCTCTTCTGGTTATAGATATTATTACAGCTAGTCCTCAAATTGCAACAGTTTGTTTAGTGACCATTCAACGTTACAACAGCACGGAAGAATGTGACTTATGACTGTTTTTCAACCTTTGCAGCATCCCCATGATCATGGGATCAAAATTCAGATGTTTGAAGACTGGTTCATATTTATGACCGCTGTTGAGTCCCAAGGTCATGCGATCACTTTTTGTGACTTTCTCACAAGCAAACTCAATGGGAAAACCAGATTCACTTAACGACCGGGTTACTAACTTAAGAAAGGTTGTAAAATGGGGCAAAACTCACCTAACAAATGTCTCACAACAGCAAAAAATTGGGGTTCAATTGTAAGTCATAAATCAAGGACTACCTGTATTTCTTAATTGTATATGCAGTGTTGTATGCTGGACTTTTATCAGGTAAAGAAAAAGTTAAGGCTCTCTCATTAATGTTATACCTGCCAAATGGCCATCTGTTTCCCAATTACCCCATTCAAATTAAAGTCAGTGACATTAAGGAAAAGGTTATCCAAAGTTGAAAAAAAAGATAAAGAAAAGAGCTATCTCTTCTTATACCAACAAGAATAAGAATATTGACTTTCTTTTTCATTCCCTCTTTCCTTCCATGGATAAGCAAGTTGTTGGATGACTTCTTCAAGGCTGTTTTTATGTTGGTATATTTCGTAGAAGTTTCCTTTTTCATCTGACCATCTTGCTCAAGAGGAGATGCAGAGGGGTGTCAAAATCTACAAGATGGTGGATAGGGCATTGCACAATCAATCAAATCAACATTTGTAGGTGCGAGTGAAAATGCACATACAAAGTGGTGAGGCTTTGCAACATTGTGCCTACCGTTTTGCAGGTTTTGACACGATCCATGGAGGCCCCCTGGTCAGGAGAAACCCAAAAGAATAGAATAGAATAGAATAGAATAGAATAGAATAGAATAGAATAGAATAGAATAGAATAGAATAAGTCTTTATTGGCCAAGTGTGATTAGATTACACAAGGAGTTTGTCTTGGTACATACGCACTCGGAGTACATAAAAGAAAAGATACATTCGTCAGGAATCATAAGGTACAACACTCAATGATAGTCATAGGGAAACAGTCAATATAAATCTTAAGGATACCAGGATATGGGTGATAGGGAAGATGAGAAGTTTAATAGTAATGCAAAGTTAGTAACTAGTTGGACAGTGTTGAGGGAATTATTTGTTTAGCAGAGTGATGGTGTTTGGGAAAAAAACTGTTCTTGTGTCTAGTTGTTCTGGTGTGCAGTGCTCTATAGTGTCGTTTTGAGGGTAGGAGTTGAAACAGTTTATGTCCAGGATGCGAGGGGTCCGTAGATATTTTCACATTTCGACTCGTGCAGTATACAGGTCCTCAATGGAAGGCAGGTTGGTAGTAATTGTTTTTTTCTGCAGTTCTAATTATCCTCTGAAATCTGTGTCTGTCTTGTTGAGTTGCGGAACCAAACCAGACAGTTATAGAGGTGCAGATGACAGACTCAATAATTCCTCTGTAGAACTGGATCAGCAGCTCTTTGGGCAGTTTGAGCTTCCTGAGTTAGCGCAGAAAGAACGTTCTTTGTTCTTTTTAAGTAGAGTTTTTAAGTAGAGTTGAGCATGAATGGCTTTGTAAAATTATCACCAAATCTGTAGTTAAAGAACCAGAAAATGGCTTCTCTGAATTTCTCTAGAGCAGAGGTCTTCAAACTTGGCAGCTTTAAGACATGTGGACTTCAATTCCCAGAATTCTGGGAATTGAAGTCCACAAGTTTTAAAGCTGCCAAGTTTGGGGACCCCAGCTCTAGAGGACTCAGAAACTCTTCAGTTGTTTCTCATAGGAAAGGATTTTAATTAGCAGTGATGGCTGTAGTGCTACTGAAAAGTTCCCCAGATATGTTAGAGATTAGATGGAAGCTCAGGAAAAAGTCAAGAAGGCTTCAGATTGTTAGGATAAAATAAATCTATATATACACACGTACAAAACCAACCCCATGAAGTACACGAAAAAGCCACAAAAGTTATTTTCTCCTTTGAAATCAGTTTCAAAAGCAAACTCTTTTGGATGAGTACTGCTATTTAAAAATAAAGAATGCAAGAGAATCCCCTCTGTCTGGTGCTAGTTTTGAGAAAAATAGCTCAAAAAGAAAGATTCAGAATTTCAGCGTGCTTCTCGACAGAAGGAATACTCCAGATTTAACAATAAAATTCAAAACACCCAGTGTCTGTTGTTTTGTAATGTGCTGCCATATGCCAGTCAAGATTTTTCTTTCTTGCTCTCAATCTTCCAAGCAGTTTTAATATCCCTCCCCATGCTCACTTTCCAAATTTATTTCATGCAGACATATACACATATCAAACCAGCGTCATTTTTAATTATTTCAGCTATACGCAGGTCTATAATCAAAATGTTCAGTGCAATATTTATGAACAGCATGATATGCAATGAAATCCATACAATTTAATTTATGTGAATGCATTTAGCAATTAGTACCAGAAATTTAAATTGGACTTGGAAATGAACAGAGACCCAGTGAAGTTGGTACTATATCGGCATAGTTGTGATTGTTTTGCTGTGCAATTATTAATCTGACTGTTCGCTTTTGGGCAGACTGAAGATTCTGGACTAACTACAGGTAGTCCTTGAACTAATGCTGTAATGGAGCCTGTCCATCACAGTCATAATTCTTGACAATTGTAAAACGGGTCGCCTGACTAGGTGGCTCAGTGGTTAAGACACTGAGTTTGTCGATCAAAAAGATTGGCGGTTTGAATTCTTAGTACAGGTCTCCGGTATGAGCAGGGGGTTGGACTAGATGACCTCCAAGGTCCCTTCCAACTCTGTTACTGTTACATTGGGTCAAGCTTATGACTGACATGATTTTGCGACAATTTTTGCAGCAGTCATTAAGTGATTCACCATGGTTGATAAGTGAATCTGTGGTTGTTAAGTGAATTCTGTGGTCATGAAGCAGACCAATATTTTGCTTTTGACACTATTTTGCAGAAAACTGGAATGCTGGTGTTAAGGAATTCGTAGAGTAACCCTTGAATAGCAAGGGTGTGTACATGAAAGCGTTTGAGAGTAGGTACGAATAAACACAGTCAACACACAGATACACTGAGTTGTGTTTACTTTCAGGAAATAGTAAGGCACAGTTCAATAAACAGTCCAGGTCATACACATATAAAGCAGGAGATGGCAAAACGACAGTCCAGGGATAATCCAAATACAAAGTCTTCTTACCAGTCATTGTAGTTATTCACAATAAACAGTTCTTCTGGATTTGCAAACAATAGCATACAGAGATATCAGAGAGCAAGACCAGCAAAGAGAAACAAACCATGTTTCTAGCTCCCTCTTAAGGAGATTGGCTACAGAGCTAGCCAATCAGGACACAGTATGATGCAATACAGCAGTCTTAAAGCTATATTGATGGTTTATATATTACCAACCCAACAAGGTAGGTAATACTCATTTCCTAACAGCTGGTTTTCAGCAAAACCATTGTAAAATGCAGTCATGTGACCATAGGGCACTTACAAATGGCCATAAATGAGATCCAGTTGCTGAACATCTTTTGACTTTTGAAACTTCAAATCTGGGTTGTAAATACCCTCCAGATCAGGGGTCTCCAACCTTGGCAACTTTAAGGCTTCTGGACTTCAACTCCCAGAATTCCTGGGAGTCCACAAGTCTTAAAATTGCCAAGTCTTGAAATCCACAAATCTTGAAGTCCACAACTCTTAAAATTGCCAAGGTTGGAGACCCCTGCTCCAGATAGCTCCAATCATTAGTCAAGGTCTATCTACACAAGATTATCACAATTTAGAATGCATTACAGTAATCTTTAGTTAGAAAGATATCATAAAACCATGGTGTTTTAACCTGGCTAGAATGATGATTGTTAGAGCAGACTAATCTTGTAAATCAGCCCATATGACAAGGGATGATTCTACCGGCAGAAATAGATCATGGGAAATTGATCCTTTGGGGCAATGCAGCTCTTCCCATAGCTATTAATGTATTGCTGCTCTGATAGGATGAACTTCTGAAACAACGCCTATCAATTTATTGGTCCTCATATTTATATAATATTTGGATGGATTCCAGAAACTAATGCAATCACATGCAGTTTGGTTTCATAGCTCAGCTTTGGTTGCTAAGCAGCTTGTGCTTAAAGATTGGAGATCAGTTCCCATAAATGTGCTTCAGCTGAGAGAACACTGGAAATAAGTCAGTTGCCTGACTTATACCAAGTTAGACATTTAGCAATAGCAACAGCACTTAGACTTGTATACTGCTTTACAGCCCTCTCTAAGCGGTTTACAGAGTCAGCATATTGCCCCCAACAATCTGGGTCCTCATTTTACTGACCTCGGAAGGATGAAAGGCTGAGTCAACCTTGAATCTGGTGAGATTTGAACTGCCAAGTTGCAGGCAGCCGGCAGTCAGCAAAAGTAGCCTGCAGTACTGCACTCTAACCACTGCACCACCGTGGCTCTTTTGGCCATTTAGGGAGGGAAGGAAAAGTTCTCTAACCATATTTGACCATTGAAAGCAGTTATTGGGGGATCTGGAGAAGAGTACTCCATTGGAAGCCCTGCAAATTGACTCGAGAAGACTTGTAAACAAAGTTAGGCATGTGGGAGGGTTTATACAACTTTCCCACTATTGATTGTGCTGAATTGTTATCTTCCTCCAAGGTTTCAAGTCAGGGTGCTTCCCATCCTCATTTATTCTTCTTCCCTGCACTATGAGGGTGTGCTCCAACACTGACTAATGGTCTTTCCCTATATAAGACAACATCTGTAGGTAAAGAATTTCTGAAGAAATAGCTGGTTTTAAATCCATTGCCGTGTTTGTATTTTATAACATCCAGCTTATGAACTCCAGGAGTGCCCAGATCCTGAGCCCTTTGCCAATGGCATTGTAAGAGGAGCAGGTTACAGTGTGGGACAGTCCATCTCTTTTGAGTGCCTCCCTGGCTATCAGTTGATTGGACAACCAGTCTTAACCTGTCAACATGGAACCAATAGGAACTGGGACCACCCATTGCCCAGGTGTGAAGGTATGACTTTATTGAGACTTTTCTTGGAAGGGAAAAAGGGAAAATAATACACTGAATTAGTATACTTGGGATATATCACATACTTATTAAATGTGTATACTGGGATTGTTGGTATTTAGCAAGAGGCATCATCATTCATTTGTTTTCACCCATATAGTTTACTAATTATATCCTAACCAGCTCCACTATACATTTCTGGCAATGATGGGTTTCAAAAAGTTTTACTACCGGTTCTGTGGGCTTGGTGGGCATGGCAGGGGAAGGATACTGTAAAATCTCCATTCCCACTCCACTCCAGGGGAAGTTTACTGCAAAATCCCCATTTCCTCCTGATCAGCTGGGACTTGGGAGGCAGAGAATAGATGGGGGCCAGTCAGAATTTTTACTAACAGTTCTCCAAATTACTCAAAATTTCCGCTACCGGTTCTCCAGAACTGGTCAGAACCTGCTAAAACCCACCTCTGATTTCTGGCTACAAACCTGAACTGGTTGGTCTATGCCTTTTATCAATTTCTGTTTCACTTAGAAGTAGACCACTATTAATTCAGCTTTATTGCTTCCACAGTACTTAGATATCCATTAATTATAATGTCAATGGCCCTTAATTTCTGCTCCTTCAGGGAGTGACAAATGTTTTTTTTTTTCTTTCACAGCTTTGATTTAATTTGAGTACGACTGTTGTATGTGTTCACCTCCATCTTCTGCATGCCTCTTTCAGTATTCCTTTCATGTGGACATTTGCTCTTGCTGGCTCTCCCAGAAAACAGTATGAACAAAAGTATAGTAATGCTGAACTTAGCTAAGTTTGCTTCAGCCACAGATTCATATATTCTTTTCTCATCACACCCTCATTGGAGGAAACTTTGGTTTGTTAGAAGAAGGCTTCCCATGACTTGTAACCTTCTGCATATGCTGAGCTATACTTGTAGTACTTTTTAGCAACCACAGTTGTCCCAATCATGACAAATTGACAAAGTTCACAATGCAGTTAACTGGTTAAGGAAGACTTAGGCCAACACTAGTTATCACCAGCTTTTGAAAAGATTCCTTTAAATTGAAAGGGTTTAAGGGCTTGTTTCACTTACCTTCGCTACTGGTTTGGGAACGGGAGTGCGTGGGAGTGTAATGATGTCCCAGTGGGTGGGCGGAGCCTCCCACCGCCGGCACTACCAGTTCGCACAACCTGGGTAGATCCGGCCGGATTTCACCGCTGGCTTGTTTTAGGTTTAAGTAATCTTCTCTGCTCAGCTGAGTTGGGTATTCTCTCTCCCTGCTGCCTATACAGAGAAGAGTGCTGGCTAGGGAATTCTGGAAGTTGAGGTTCATACATCTTCAAGTGTCCAAGATTAAGAAACACTGTATAGTTCAGGGGTGTCAAACTTGCGTCATCACGACGTTGTCACGTAACGGATCGTGACTTATTTCCCCCCTTCGTTAAATCGGGTGTGGCCATGGCCAGCACGTGACGCATCCGGCCCAAGGGCCGCGAGTTTGACAGCCCTGGTATAGATCTTGGGAATAGCAGTTTGGAGGACTTTAAAACAGACCAAATGATACTAAATGATACCACTATTCTGCAAGAACTGGGATTTAGTAGCTTTTAATGTCTCTTTCTGGTCAATTGCATACAGTCCCCTGTGGAGGAAACATGACTGCCCCAAATGGAACTATCTACTCCCCCGGCTTTCCCAATCAGTATCCCAATTCCCAGGACTGCACGTGGCTATTTGTGGTGTCATCTGGATATGGCATCTACCTCAACTTTACCTTGCTGCAAACGGAGCCGTACAATGACTTCATCACTGTCTGGTGAGTGGGATTCGGAGCTGAGGGCTCCCTCTGAGCCCAACTTTTTCAGTAGGTGTTGCTATAATCCTGTCATAGCTATGTTCTCTTCTCATCATGAGAAGTCTGGAGATATCAGTTTTTCACTTACCCCAAGGCAGGGGTCAGCAACCTACGGCTCCGGAGCTGCATGTGGCTCTTTGGGCCCTCTGCTGTGGCTCCCTGTCAGGTGATCCCAACACTATCTGGCCCCGCCCCTCACCCTCCCCTCCCAGTTACTCCTCGCCTGGCCTGAGAAGGTAAGGGCAATGGCAGGGGATGGAGAAGCGGTCGGGGCAGAGACAGAGAGATACAGAGAAAGGGGGAGAGAGAGAGAGATAGAGAGATACAGAGAGAGAAGGAGAGGGGGGGAGGGAGGAAGGGAGGGGAGAGAGAGATGTCAAAAGGATTTTGTGGTTTCCGGTATTTTTTAACAATTGATTCTCTGCCCTAATGACCGGCTGGGTAGGCGTGGCAAGGAGGGGCCATGTGACCAGTGGAAGTGAGTGACATTGAGTTGGCCACGCCCACCCAGGTTTTGTGGCTCCTAGTGTTTTCTTTTTTGTGGGAAACGGGTCCAAATGGCTCTTTGAGTATTTAAGGTTGCAGACCCCTGCCCCAAGGGAAACTGCCCAAGCTGGGATTAGGAAGCTTGGTCGCAGCAGACTCAGGACAGTAAAATATATACCACAAAAAGACATAATCAAATTGGAAAATCTTTCCTTCCAAACCCCTGGAGGAAAAGGAAAAATTCAGTTTGCTTCCTAAAGAACTTTAAAGTAGCAGTGAGCATCTGGAGGGAGATAGTGACAATGCAAATGGCAGTAATGAAAATTGCTTGATTTAGAAAATGGAGAAATTTGGAAAGATGTCCTGTTGTCAATCTACAACACCTATTGTCCACTCTCATTTCCATGGCTCTGAGGTCCTCTAGATCAGAAGTCCACAAGAGGAAGCAAGCTCGTGAACAGAGCGGGACCGAGGGGTGAATAGGAAGAGCTGCAGTGTTGCTTTTGCATTGAAGAGTTGTATTGTGTTATTTATCCTCTGTGCTGCATTATTCTAATCGCCTTTCAGTTATAAAGTCTGTCCATTATGTAGTGTTTAGAAACCATTTTGCATAGCAAAAGTTGGGTGGCAATGCAGGTATGCTTTTTATAGCCAAATTTAAAATAGGCATTTTGTATTTTTTTTTTTCATTAGTTACAATTTGTTGCAAACTAAAACTACTTAACAAAGGTTAAGTATATGTAAGTATATACAAATTCTTTTTTTTTTCCTTTCATGTACTATATTTCTAGGCTGGGAATCGAGACATCTTCAATTTGCATAGTTAGGCGAATATTGCAAATAAAATAAAGAAAATAGGAAAGGTGCCTTTTATAGGTCTTTGTGGCCTGTGAGCAGATCAGGAGAACTTTGTGGATCCTTCAGCCAGATTGACCCACTGGGAGTGTCTGATTGGCCTTCCAAGCATAATCTGGCTCTTGCATCAAGAGGTTTGTCAGCCCTTTTAAAAGTCTCACTTGGAATTGTCTTCAGCCAGCAATCTGGGAAGTAAAGAGTAGAAACTCTGATCCATAATTCTTAACCATGTCTTTTCAGTTACTCTTTTGTATTTCTTTCCCTTTCTCTTCAGGGATGGTTCTCAAGAGACAGCTCCCCAGTTGGGGGTTTTCACAGGACACTCAGTGAAGAAAGCCATCCAGAGCTCTTCCAACCATGCTCTGATGAAGTTTCATAGTGATGCAGCCAATGGAGGCCTCTTTGCCATCCACTTCTATGGTGTGTACAGCTCAGTGTGGCACAAGGATTTGTTGTCATGCTTGTTTTGTAACCTGTTGCATGTAGCAATGATGGTTCAATTGGATATTGCTTATGTATTCGACTAAGGTTTATCAGGTGCCTTCTCTGCCATACTGTTGTGACCTAGGCTTCCTGAGTCATTAAAACAGACAGGTAGTCCCCAAAACCTCTTTTATTGTAACAGCTGTGAATTACATTCATTCACAGCCGAGTCCCAATTAGTTGCAAAAAGTCCTTCGGGAGAATTCCTTTGAGATAATCACCAACCTTTATCTCCCTTGACATACTGCCAAAGACCTAATTGGCAAAGCCACATGGAGTCCAGAATCAAACAGAGATGCCGACTGGGAACAGAATTAACAACGTTGCTTTCCTGCAAAGGGTCCATGTGCCTTTGCTCCTCTTTTAAGCCTTATAGGAGGGGCCAATCATCTCCAGGCCTTACTCCCAAGTCGTCCCTTTTGTTTTAACTGTTCTTGCCTTCTGGCAGCTCTGTGCATGCCTCTTTGATAACTGACTCTGGAGGCTCCAGAGTCCACACATAACTCCCAGATGTCCCTGGTCCCATCTCTGCCTTTGATGCAGAGCCCTCCTCTTGGCCTTCCCCAGACTCCAGGACTGGCCCATATTCCTCCCCAGCCTCCTCACTGTCTGACTCTGCTGCCAGCTCCGCAGGCTGCTGGCGGACCACAACACATATCACTGTGTCTGATGTAACATAAAAAACACTAATTTGGACCAGTAAGTAGCCCTTATCTCTCTGGTTGGGTTTGCACAGGATGCTTAATCAAATTTATTAGAAGCCAAAGGCTGCATGCATTGATTATTATTAATGATTAGAGGTGGTTTTTGCAGCTTAACTCTGCCTGTTGAGTTAGTTTGAGATCCCAGGCATTGTGCAAATCAAGCAAATGGGTTAATTCAGTAATCAAGTTGTGTGAACAGCGTCACGAAGAAATCCAAATGCTGAGTGAACAACTGTGTAGTTGGAGTATCCAAGAAGTAAGAAATACGTTTGACTTACAAAATAAAAAAGAATCTATTTCTTCTGAAAAAGTATCCTTGAGGGTCAATGAATCTTCAAAATGTTGAACCACAGAAGGCTACAAAAAGGAGAAAATTGGTTTCCCCACCACCACCCAGGGAGCAGGTTCTGTTTGTTGTAGAATTGATTTTCCAGAGATTCAGCTTCTTGCTTCTCTCTTTGTTCATTATTTATTTACTCATCCATTCAATTTATATGGCCAACGAGTGATTCCGAGGATCTATAATACAAAGATATATATTAAAGTCCCATAGGTAGAGATTTGGTACTCTCATGCACTTAATTTATTTATTTCTCTTCCCAGCCTATCAACTTTCTAAGTGCCAACCACCAACTATGGTCCCTAATGCTGAAATCATCACTGAGAATGAGGATTACAATATAGGTATTGCACGCATGATTTTGCTAGTATTTTCTCTG